AGTGAGTTCACGCGTGCAGATGAATCAGTTCAATCGACAGCTTCATCAAGAGGCTGTACAAACTCATGTTGCTATGTGGAATGCTTAGGGTAGGCTATTCCACATTAGTGCACACTTAGTCAAGAGGAAGTTTTCTCTAGTTTTGGGTGTATTCTTTTCAAGTTTGATCGTAGATACTTTATCTCAAAGGTTATGCACACATAAGCCTTGGATAAGTACTACACTGGAAGAGGATTATATGAGCTAGTACAGGTTCCTGTAACTGGATTAAGGTTTTTTGTATTCTTTTATTTTCACCTAGTATTCATGACGCCTAAGAATTGATATTTGGCGAACTTCACCTGCCTTCAATGGTAAATGTCATCACATCATCCTAGGCAATGATAATTCGAACCCATTTTCAACAAAGTTATGGGTGTTATTGATTTTTCTTGAATTTCATGTTCAGTTGAAATATGACCGCTGAGGTTTGCTTCTTTAAACAGAAATGTACCGAAAATAATTGTAAAATTGATCTCAATTTCACCTATTTCCTTCCCTCTCTTTTTTGACTTGAAGTCGACCTTTTAATTACCTATGTATAACAGAACATGTATGATCAAAGTGGATGTTCAGTCAGTCAGTCAGATGCAACGTAAAACTTCGTACGTAAGTACATCAGTTCATGTTGCCATACCACATCAGCACAGAGGTGTAATTGTCAATTCAAATCCAATAGTAGAAGAGGTAGTAAAGGTATTAGAAGCAATCAGAGAGGTTAGGATTAGAAGATATCATTCAAGAAGTATAATTCAGTGAGAAAAGTTTAAAAAGTCAAAACTAGAGGTGTTGAAGAATCCAAAAGATTAGGATTTGAGAGAACACAAAGAATAAATGCACCGGCGTCATCGCAAACGGTTTTCAGCCATGTCGTTCAGGGTCTCTATTTATCGATTATTATCATTTCGCGGACCCAAACCAGGTAGTCGACACCTGCCGACATGACTCAGTCCACTTGTCAATGACTTCATAGATTGCTGTCATGTTTTGGTCTGGCCGCCCCTAACTTTCTTCCAACCTACTCCTACACTACAAAACAAAGCTCGTCGAGGCAGTCGGTGGTTAGGCATACGCAACACAAGACCCATCCACCTCAACTGATAAAGTTTCATTACTTCATCTATTGATCTGTCATTCTTACCTAGCACCCGCTTTCTAATAACAGCGTTGCTCACTCGAGTGTCCCAGGATATACGAGCAAAGCTTCGAAGACACCTATGATCGAAAACCAGTAACCTACGAATATCTTCTACTCTCACTGGCCATGTTTCACAGCCATAAAGTAAGACGGAGCGAACTGCTGCGCAGTACACTCGTCCTTTAGTCAGCAAACGGATATCTCGCCTACGCCGTAAGTGACGCAGGTTGGCAAAAGCCAATCGAGGCTTCTGTATCCGAGCTGAGATTTCTTCAGTCACCAGGCCATCAGCACTGATGAGACTCCCAAGATAAGTGAAGCGGTCAACACGCTCAACTACTTCACTACCTATCAATAGTTCAGGTGTCGATGCAACCCAGTCTTTAAGCAACATTTTGCATTTCGAGGGGGAAAACCGCATCCCGAACATGCTTGCATTGTTGCTTAGGGTAGACAGAAGACTCTGCATTTTGTCAGCGTTTTAAAGAAGTAGAACTATGTCATCCGAATATTCTTAGTCAACAAGCGAGCCTCCTCGTAAAAGGTCTACTCCTGAAAATTCAGACGAGGATAAGGTTATATCTAGGAGCATGTCTATGATAAAATTAAACAAGAATGGAGAGAGTGGACATCCATGACGGACACCACTTGAAGTAAAGAATTCCGCTGACAGTTTGCCATAAGCTTTCGCTCGACCAGTGGTGTTCGAGTGGAGAGCTTGTATAAGGTTAATGTATTTGATTGGTACACTTTTTAATGACAAACACTGCCACAGAACCTCACGATCCACAGAGTCAAATGCCGCTTCAAGGTTCAGGAAGACAACTATTGTTGGACGCTTATATGTATGTCTGTGTTCCAGGACCTGTCGTAGTGTAAAAATGTGGTCTATACAGCCACGTCCATGCCGTAAACCCTCCTGGGTTTTTCTCTAGTCTGCTCTTCACGAGCTCTGGTTAGGCGTCTAAGAATTATCGAGGCTTACAATTTATACACCAAATTAGTTAAACTTATTCCCCTGTGATTTTAACAAGAAGACTTTTGTCCTTTCTTATGAATTGGGACAATCAGTGATTGGGACCATTTGGATGGGATTACGTCCAGTTCCCAGATTCTACCTAAGAACTTAGTCAATCTGGCTGCTAAAACTGGACCACCATCCTTAAATATCTCAAGTGTAAGTCTATCGGGACCAGCTGTTCTCACTCACTTCAGATTTCCTATCGCTTTCCCAACGTCATTATGACAAGGGGGACTTACGTCGATATGCCATTCAGGATGACTGGAGATCGTGGGTAACCGAAGAGTGGCTCGAGGCCAGTTGAACTGATTCATAAAGTGTTCTGCCCATCGATCCAGTCTCCTGGATTGAGAATGGATAATAAGACCATCCTTTTCCGAGATAGTCTCATTCACATTCGGGTTCTTAATACCAGTTTCTTTAATAAGGCGGAAAAGTTGTCTACTGTTGCCTGTCGCCGCTGCCTTTTCCATCGCTTGTTCTTTCGCCACCCACCACTGTTCACGGTCGTTGCGCAGGCTTGCGCCTAAGCTGACTTCGTTCTTCATCATGTTCAGAGCCAGGTGGGATGAGTTTTCGAGCATCCATCAGATCGGTGGATGCTACTGAGATTCACGGCTTCATCCTAGCCTTATGGTTTACCTTACTAGCAGATATCACTGCTGTTTCCACAGCATTTTTGATATCATTCCAACTTGACTTCGGATGGGAATCGCTTAAATGGTCGCCTAACTGTCTTTCTCTTTGTTCCTGAAATATATTCTTAGCTTTATGGTCATTAAGTAAAACCCTAAGAGGCTTCCTTACAGTGTCTTTCCTACGCCCAGTAAGTTTCAAACAAATACGAGCTCGCACTAGAGCATGATCTGAATCTAAACATGTGCACCAAAACGAGCGACAGTCTTCTATCGAATCCCTCCATCGGTGGCTGATGGCGATATGATCTAGTTGGGTCCAACGTTGAGACGATTTGGAGGTCGCCAGGTCAACAGATACGTGCAACATACGGTCACCACTGTCTGTTCTCTGAGCCGCGACACCATAAGATCCACCCAGGTGTCTTTCATTTTCACTCAGTCTACCTACTTGAGCACTGAAGTCACCAGCCATTAATACTATATCAGAGCGCCTAGCTTTTTGGAGGAGGTCCGAAAGCTTTCTGTAAAATTCATCTTTAACCTCGTCTGAACTGCAGTCAGTGGGGGCATAGGCAGATACGACGAAGAGGCAACGGCGAGTGTCCCTATCTTTCCGAGTCCTTACTGTCCCGTTTAGTCGGACAGCGCACAAACGACTATCTACTGGGATCCAGTCAAGGAGAGATTGTTCAGCTCTACGACTCAATGCTATACCTACACCAGCGAGACCCCGGGAAGCAGTATCAGGGTTACCGGATACACAAATTGTTAATCGGGCTGCGTATTTGTTTTGGCAAGGCGAAATCAGATCAATGACTTTACTAGGATCCTGCATGCGCGTTTCCGAGACGCAGCATACATCGATGGCACCAGATTCTAAAGTCCTAGCTAATGATGCCGGTTGCCCTATTTGACACAATGTCCGTACATTAAATGCTCCAACATGTAGTATAGAACGGGGTTTCACGAGACCAGAAATAACGTTTCGTCAGCTCGCATCGTTTGCATTAGCGGTGCAGTCAGATAAGGGAATGTGAATAGAGTTAGTTGTGGAGAGAAGAGAGGTATTACGAGGTGTAGGAAGGGTTTGATTTTGACCAATTCGGTCTCTCGTGCTGCTACGGGTATGAGGGCGGTTGTCACTTGGAAGGTTGTTTCTTGAGGGACCTGAAAAGGAAGATAGATTAATGTTGGTCTTGACGACCTGGGTGCGTGACCGCAGAGGCCAAGGGACAACTGCTTGAGGCCGGTCACTCACGGCCTTTTTATCAAAGGTATTTTGAGGATTAGATCCGCTCTTAAAGGCCCTCAGTGGGCACCCTTACCCAAGGAGACGGAAATCCGTGAGATAGAGTGAGGTGTGACATTTTTGGAGTCGACCTTTTCTAACTCTTCCTTCCTTGTGAGAAGGCAGCATCGCTGCAGATGCTGGTTGTCCGAGGGAAACACCTTACTGCTGTCACACCCCTCTGCAGTCAGCAGTACGACTTCGCCCTCAGACCTGGGGTAGCTGCTTTTAGTCTCACTGATCTCCAATCGACCTGCCTGGTATGGTAGAACCTTCAGGAACATATGTTCCAGCTGATATAGCTCGGTCGGGTCATAACGATAGGCCAGCCCGACCACCACGTCAAGGTAGCAGCTACGGTCGGGAAAGTGAATGTTAGCATTATCAAAATCACTTGTACACAACACTCATGCATGAATAAGCGTTTTGCGAAAAATAATAACCCTTCAGAATGCAATAATCATTCATAATCTCACCTGGAAGCAGTAACCCTCTATGTCTATCGCCTGCGTATAATGTAGAATATCAAACTAAATAAGCAACTTATTTCTGTAAATGTGATAGCATTTGTAACAGTTTGAAGTTATACATAAAGTGGTATGCCATATGTGAAACACTGTTGTTTTAAAATAAATATTATTTTTATTATTTATGGGCAAACCTAATACCATAAAACTACACAGAAATGTCCGTTTTAATTTGTTGGCAGTTACGTTACTGAAGGTGATTTTCACTCCAAATAAACGTTCATGAAAAAGGTTTACGCGTTTCTGAAATTACGTATGGTTCGTGTAAGTAATACCAAATTCTTCAATATATACATATTTCTATGTTTCTTTTATATTGTAATTTGTACGTGTTTTATTGCGTAAATATGAAAGGTCGTGATGCTGTTTCACTTTAGAACTTCTATCTTGGGGGATGAATACTCATTGATGCTTTATAGCCTCTCAGTACCCAATAAATCAAGTGATGCTTTGAAGAATGATACAACCACCAAAGAAGCTTATTTTTCTAACTACTATTCTAAGCGCCAAGCAAGTATGTCGAGATTACATCCTTCAAAAAGTTTCTTAAGTCTTTTCCAGTTGCAGTTTGAAAGATTTTTCGAGTGTTTGCGAAACTTTGAGGTTTATAGAATATTTAGATTTATCTCGAAATGTCATCACAAATATTCCGACTGGAATAGAACGATATGGACTGCTTACCACCTTGGATTTAAGGTAAAGTAATCTAATAATTATAGCATTATGATTTAGCTTCAACAAAATATTTGCGATTCCGAACTCCTTGTGTAAACTGAGGAACCTTCGGATACTGTTAATTTCTAACAATTACTTGTCATCATTGCCTGAAAGCATTTCTGAACTTAAAAACTTACAGGAACTGGTAACATTCCTCGTTAGTGTTTAGTTGAATTTCAGGATCTGTCTTCTAATAAGTTTAAATGCTTTCCTTGTTCAGTTTGCTCGCTTCACAGTCTGAAAGTTTTGCTGTTGGGATGCAATCTGATTGAAGTTCTCCCAGAAGGTATGTTTATTTGATGCAGTTCGAAATCCAGATCATTAATTTATGCATATAATGTTTCTTTGATACTCATCGGTTTTCCTGATTTTTCACTTAGAGTACAAAGCGTTTAAAGGTTTGACGAAGCTAACTTAGAATTACTTTTGTTGGAACTTAAACATATTTTGGGATTTCGAAGGTGTAATTGCAGCAGCGATACTTGTGACGGTTCATATTTTCATCGATAACCCAATTTTACAATGGAATGTCTCCAGGATATTTTCTAATTGCACATACTAGATTTTAATGCATATATGTATGTTGTTTGTTTGTGTTGTAGTTCAATTATACTTTAAAACTCAATGTATATTATATTTGATTTAGTTCTGGATCATTTTGAAGCCATACTGCAACGATAATGGTAAAGGTTTAGTGAATTTTGTTTTTTAGAACAACCTTGCATATAAGATGAGTTTGTCAGTTCAGCACGATTAAAGTATCATTTGCGTAAGCTTCTTATTAATATGAGTGTAAAACTATTGTTATCTGTATTCGAAATGTCTCTTAAATATGAATGGTTGTTAATATTATTACTTCTACTGGTGGTAAACATGATGCTAAAAGTAGCTCAACTAGTCCATACTTATTTGAGAACATTGAGCAGGTAAAATTTCACTGCTGTTTGCTGATAAAAGGAAATCGAAAAAGTGGCTCTATATTTCTGGACTATTCTTGTGTTTTACTGCAAACGTTTTTCCGCGGTAAATAAATCCCCAAAATAAGTAGTCTTGTAAGTCTCCAACACCGTTGCTCACCTAATTGATTGTAGTGGACACAACCTAGCTGAAGGCTCTCGGTCACCTCCACACTGGAACGCCTTTGGGTGTGGTGTGCGACTCATCCCTTGCAGCAACTAACTAGCTTAGTGTACTCACTGACCTACATCCAGACTATCCTGCAAATATACCATTGACCTTTTTCATTCTCACTCCTAGTTTGACTGCATTTCTTTATTCTTGATATAAAAGATTTTACGGATAAAATCGTTTTTCAACTGAGTATCTATCTGTTGTGTTCTTCGGTTACCACTGTTTGGTAGATACTAAGTTCAATCTTCATAAATCTTATTCTAGATAACATTTATCATAAACTTGCCGAAAATCTTGGCTCCGTTTGTAATGTATATCTCTGTATTATTAGCAGTTATCTAGTTTCTAATTATTCAGTTTACGCTTACAATCCTTCAGGCTTCAGTCTTGTCCCGCCGTGATTATTAATAACGGTTTTCTTTAGGCAATATTATGAACGATATGACACTAGCTATTTCATTAAAGTGTAATATAATCAACCTTTAGTCCAAAACTATTTTTTGGAAAATCCCACTTCATTCTGTTAGATATAGTTAGACATCTGCGTTCAGCAGATTTTAGCATTCTAGTTAACAACGTTTATCGTGTTTATTACATTTATGGATAATAGGTAATGTTTCGTTTAGTAGATTGATTTCAATCTCTTTACTACTTATATTCAGCCTCTTTGATAAAGGATAATAAAATAAATATAATTATACATACGCTTTTGCCATTCACGTACATGGTTTGTGTTTCATATCAAAAGTTATTTTTAAAATGTGAATTTCGTTCGAGATTCAGAAGGCATATTTTAACAAAGAGAATTCTACGTTGGCCTTGTACTTGTAATTTTTCCATTTTTATTTACCTTCATCAGTTATAATTTATCTTCTCATATTTTAATTTTTAGACATACTTGGTCTTCGTTGCTTGAAGATTTTGGACTTGCATTCAAATAATGTAAAGCAACTACCTCTGAACATCAGATACATGTGGTGCCTAGAAAAGTTATCTCTGGAGGAAAATCCCTTATGCCTTCCCCTTTTAAGTGTGAGTTTTGGCACTGAGGTATTTTGAAACTTATTCTCTTTACCAAACCATGTTTTTAAAACTTAGTTATGAACATTTTCATCACTTATTGTGCTTACAATCTGATTTGATTTGATGCTGATAACCCAAGACTGCCTGCTATACAAACATTACAGAAGTAATCGGGATTTGTTATCTTAAAGCTAAACCAAACACCTAGGTCTTAACAGGTTACGGTTATGCATCGATTTAATAAATAATCAATTGCATTTTGTGAATTTAGATTAATTTAGGTAGCACATTGAAGTGTTTTCTAGTTTACATACTATCCATTTTTCAGTCTGATTTATGGTATACATTCACTGCAAACAGTAGAAACCATCAAGTCTCGCCTTGTGCTCATATTTTATGTAGATATTATCTGTTCACCTTGCAATACAATCTAAAATTTTAATACGAATTCCATTTTTAGATGCTTGATTTATTCATAGAAAAATGTCTTTGATTGGGTCAAAAAATTAATCTATATATTCTTATGAAATTCTTATTACCAAGCACCAATCCGATGAAAATTTCCAGTTCTTTTTATAATGTTCTTAAGCTTCTGTCTAAAACCGACTGTCATCAGAACACATTTAAGTCTCGTAATGAACTCAAACAAACAATAAACAGTTAGGTTAGAAAGGAATAGTACACATTTTTCAACTATAACTGATTTTTGATGTTGCACAATCATTATCATTCAATATCATGTGTTTTAATTCTGTTGTGTAAACGTTATGAACCTTCCCATAAGTTCTTTATTAGTTCGACTTGCTTGCTTGCCTTCTTTTATCGTTCTTACGGAAGGACTTAAATTCATTGAAAACACTACCATTATTATTATTGTCTGATTGAGATTTTGTTTACTTTACTGTCAAACGTACTTGTCAAGAAAACTAGATTGATGACTCAGCGTAAACTGTTTCGAATCAATATACATTATTGTCATAAGAAATTCGAGTTTGAAACGGAAAATCCAATTCACCAGTCAAAATAATGATGTTAAATGTTCTTTTGTGAAAGATTATCCCTTAATCTAAGTCTCTACATGTTAATTTATACTAATTAACATGTTACTTCAATTGTTTATTAAATAAATAAAATCTCGGTTGAAAGAACAACATAAAGTCGACAGTGATATTTAGCAGAAAAGCCAAAATATTTTCTTGAAGAATAGTACAAACTTATTAAGTAAGAACAGCCTATAGTATTCGTTAGAAATGTTCATATTACTAAGTTATATGGCCACTTTGTTCTTGTCTAATTTCATCAGTAAGTAGAATTACGTTTAAGCCTTAGTTACATAAATGTTTTTCCTACTTATGAAAAGTTTAAACAAAATATACTGTATACTGGAAATCCGTATTTGTCCATCAACTAGCTAAAACGTTTGTTCAGTTTCATCATCTACAACGATATTAGCGAAGTCAATTCTATTTAGATAAATTTGGTTTGCGAAGTTAAGCGTTTTTCGTAGTTATTTGCAACTATACCTTGAATGTATGGCATTTTGTAGATTTTATTTGTTTTTCGAATGATATTTACATTTCTTTATTCAAAAAATGGCAGATTGTTGCCCGTGGGATTCCATACATATTTGCATTTTTAAATCAACAAGCTTTATGTAATTCTAATAATACAAGTTGTGAAAGATTTCATGATTCGTTAACTCAATTATCATCTGCTCATATGATAAATGGTTCAAATCAGCAAAATACTATGAAGTTAACCGAAAGTCATTATGTGAATTCAGACTCTTCTAGTCCTTGTTTTGAGAAACCCGAGGTGAATACAGATTCTGTTCAAATATCCATGTCAAAATCTGAAATTACCAAGTAAGTGTGACTTTTGTGCATGAATTTGTATAAATTTCGCTCATCTATGCTTTATTTAAACAGAGCTATTGTTTAATTTCACTTCGGGAAATAGCCATGATTGGTATATCTTCATCGAGATAAAGCATGATGATCGTATGTAAAGTTGTCAACTACTGATTTATTTTGGGCAACGAAATAAAATAAATTTTATTCTTGGAATATATTAAGAGTTAACCAAGAGAATCTTATTATATTTCAAGTTTTTTTGGAGGGGCTTCACAACAACCTCATCTTGGTAAACCATCAACATCACACGAATTTTATCTTCTACCTATGAGTTCTTTATATTCGTTTGTGTCTTTAAATGGATCATTTTATCACTATTGTAAAGAGCCTTATACATTTCGTTGAGTAATGGTTTTCAATGTGATATAATAACATTTTTAAAGATAGAAATACGCTTATAAACACCGGACATCTTTTTTCATGTCTCGGCAAAGATACATTTGTACTGTTCGTTTTCTAAACATTGAACATGTTTTTTTTCTCTTGATTTCTTCTTTTGTCAAGAGTGATTTTCTTCTTGTCTTATTTCACTTTCTTTTCATTCCTTTCAATCTTGTCTTGTGCATTGCTTTGTTAAACGTGATAAACTGTATAGATAATCTTAAAACTGAACCTTCACAGTTTTCCATGAAGCTGTATAAATCAGAGATAGAGAGAGAAAAAAAGAAATTAAGAAGGGGAACAGCTGTTTCGTTGTAGCCTAAGATTTATCATTTATGCACACCAACAATCAACCAGAACCTTAACGTATTGTAATGAGAACTATACAACTAAACCGTCATCTTCACATTTAAAGGTCCAGTGTCATAAGGCTTTTCAGAATTTTTCAGTTCATATATACCGTTGCCATATTTATGAATATTCTCATTTCGGTCACTGTTAAATAAAACAATAGAAATATACAAACCTTTTATTATTGTAATAAAATAAATGTTTCTATGAGCATAGTGAATAACAAAATTGTTATTTGTTTAACTATAAAACTTGTAAGACAAACTTTGTCAGTGTTAATGAATATTTTTTTCATCGATCTGCTTTATGCAAATCACTATAACATTATATATGTTTGTTTTTGTTAGTATGTACTCTATCAATAATAATTGTACTGTTTCAATCTATACATGTGCACACCAATACATATAGACTTCATACTTTACTGCAGTGTGAGTAAACGTATGTCACTCTACGTGTTTATGTCCAAATGCATTTTTTTTTCTATTATTTCTTTTTAAATTCATTGGACTCTTTCTCTATTCTAAGAAGTACAAAAAAAGTTATTTATCGTTATATTAAAGAAAGAATAATTTATTATTGTGCTTAGATCTCGAAAATTGATTTCCAGTTAGTGCATCATTATTCAGTGGTCAAGTAAACGTGTGTGTTAAATTTTTATTCGAATACTATTTATTTAGTTAGTTCAAAATTGAATAAGTTACTTTAATAACTGGGCACAATTATTCAGTTAGTAGAACTCCGGATTAGTTATTTATCAGTCATCGGTTCAATTTCAATTTTCGTTTCTTCATTATAAATCTTCATTATATCCTATTTGCAAAGTCTATCTAAACGATTTTCTTCGGTCTCTACCAAATAAATTGTTTTTGTAATATTTGTCTTTTAGAGTAGATGAAGCTGCAAAATTAACAGATATTTTAGTATTTAGATTTCATAATCTAACTGTTACGCATGACCTGTTTACGTTCATGCGTAGCACTAACCTCATAGTTATTACTGTTTGCTCAAGATACTTCAGTTATCCCTAAAAATATGGTTTATTCATTCTAACGCAATTAGTTTATTAAATAGAATAAAATAATATAAAATATTTCTATTTTATCAAGCTGCTATTTAGTACCACTTAAAATAAACAGCAATAATTATTGTTGAAAATTATGTTTTATAAACAGATATTAAACAAAAATCACGAGATATTTTCATATCTCTTCAAAAATGTGTCATTATTGGATAAGTGTCTACACTAGTCGAAATACTTAGATGCTGTTGTAGTTTATCAGTAAGTAGATATCAGTGACTTCATATGATGCATAATTTTCAAAGTCCCAGTGTATAATTCTGTTTATTTATACCAGTGATTTATATAACTTCAGAAAGGAGAAATTATTGAAATGAATATAAAATGACCAAATGATATATATATTTAAAAGAAGTTGAAATTACTTCAACCAAAGTAGATTGGGATGCATCAGTTCACACATGAATATGATCCATTGTAAATACTGGAATTGGTTCACTCTCCTACTTGAAATTATTTTATTCAGTGTAGAAAACTTTTATTTTATAATTATTGATCAAAATATGAAATGCTACTTTTCACGGATTCCTAGAACATTTTTTCTTCAACTTTTTCTTCTGACAAATAAAAAAATTTCTTCAAATTAGTCAATTTTATAGAAACAAATATCGAGTTCTACATTGATTTGCATAAAAGTATATTAACATTGTACTTTATGCTGAAACTGTGATTATCATATGATCCAATTATATATATATATATATATATATATATATATATCGCTCCACAATAAGTAATTTTTGATTCACATCATCTGTTTACTGGAGTGCTCTAATATTAATCATTGTCATCACCATGAATTGTGATCCTGAAAATATTTCTCTGAGTCGATAATTCTGTTTAATTACTAGGATGGCTTGAATTTTGTGGTCAGTGACCAATAAAAAATATGTCTAGAACATCTAAACAAGTTATGCCTCTTTAAAACTTCAATATATATATATATATATATATATATATATATATATATATATATATATATATATATATAATTCATGGTCTGATTCATTTTATTCATTAATTTTAACTACTTAAAATTTTCTTACCATCTACCTAATACACATTTATCTTTAACTCATGAATCCTGTTCACTATCCACATGATTATAGCTGTTGAGCAATGTAATAATCGTCAGTTTTGTAAAAATCAATTTAATTGCTATCATTCAGTCATGTTAATTGTATTCTATAAACTTTTCCTACTTTATGTAATGGTAGCTGTTGCAAATAACGTCAATACAAACGTAACTTATCATCTACTGTATGTATGAACTGAACTAAATCAATCAAATATGATGTCTAAAACGAAATCGCTTTGTAAGCGGACAAGCAACACGATGATTTTTTACAGGAAGGAATTCCTGTGGCAGTGTCTGTCATTGAAAGGTGTACCAAAGAAGTACATTAACCTTATACAAGCTCTCCACTCGAACACTACAGGTCAAGTGAGAGCTTATGGCGAACTGTCAGCGGAATTCTTTACTTCAAGTGGTGTCCGTCATGGATGTCCACTCTCTCCATCCTTGTTTAATTTTATCATAGACATGCTCCTAGATATAACCTTATCCTCGTCTGAATTTTCAGGAGTAGACCTTTTACCTGCTGGCTCGCTTGTTGACTTAAAATATGCCGGTGACATAGACCTACTTGGTGAAGACGCTGACAAAATGCAGAGTCTTCTGACTACTGCAAGCAATAATGCAAGCATGTTCGGGATGCGGTTCTCACCCTCGAAATACAAAATGTTGCTTCAAGACTGGGTTTCATCGGCACCTGAACTAGTGATAGGTAGTGAAGTAGTTGAACGTGTAGACTGCTTCACGTATCTGGATCAAGTAATGAAACTTCATCATTTGAGGTGGTTGGGACATGTGCTGCGTATGCCTAATTACCGACTGCCTCGTCGAGCTTTGTTTTGTAGTGTAGTAGTAGATTTGAAGGAAGTTAGGGGCGGCCAGACCAAAACATGGCAGAAATTCATGAAGTCACTGACAAGTGGATTGATTCATGTCTGTAGTTGTCGAATACCTGGTTGGGGTCCGCGAGATGTAATAGTTGATGGTTAGAGGCCCTGAGTGACATGGCTGAAAACCGTTTGCGATGGCGCCGGTGCATTTATTCTTTGTGTTCTCTCAAATCCTAATTGTTTCTCTTGACTTATTTTATTTCTGTTTGTAATTTCTGAAGCTGAAGTACACAACTAGTAATAAGGCTGTTAACTTGTTCTATGAGACAGGATCAATTTAAGAGTGGATCAAATGTGATTCATATACAACTATAACTCAACACTGTTATTCTCAGGTATTTAAGAAGAGAGAAAATTAAGCTTTGTACGAGGACTGTATTTGTCAAGATAGATACTCAGTGAGATAAGTAAACATAATCATATATAGAATATTTAGAAAGAAAAAAAATCAAGCAACCAACGATTTAGTGTTTTATACTATGATTAGTATTATGTGTACTGTATTAAATCCTAAAATCTTAATTTGAAAAAAAATAATCAATGAATTATTAGCATACCCGTCACTCGGGTTGGTCTAAGGTCTTTGATTTTAATTTTGAATATGGTAAATCTGAAGGTTCTTTTTTCCTTATATCCCGAACGAGTCCATTTTTAACGGTTAATTTGTAAGTATCCCTTTTCCTTGTGCATTATAGAGTAGTTCATTTGAAGTTGAATGATTTCATCCTAATTCTTAACGAATAAAAATCAATCAAACAGTATAGTTATTTCACATTGAAATCATGAATGCTTCATTGTTAGCTCACATTTTAGACCATATTTTAATGTCTGAAAGTTTTATTAAATTTATGAACCGATCAATGTTAGACTGGCATTAGAAACCTTGATGCAGTACTCATCCACGACTCCTGCTACTCGCGGGACTCGAACCCAGGCCTTCGGTCTAGCGAACGCTTAATCTCTGGACCACTGAGCTGGCATCCATCGGTGTTAACGTCTAACTCTGATCGTATATTTATTCATTTGGAATTTTAATAAATCTACTAAATTAGTTCATGTAACTGATCTCGTTAAAATTAAACATTTTAATTCAGTTATCTAACTATTTTATTGTATTTATTTTATTTTGTTTTAAAACATAAATAAAATCAACTAAAACAATTCTACTTCAAGCCCTTCATCAACAACTCAACACTTTGACTTGTCAACATCGAATAAAACAAATGAACAATTTAACAATCAAAATGTTGATTTACAATTGATCAATTATAATTATGACAAGAATTTCAGTCATAATGAATCAACACATTCTTATATAAATGAAACATTGAAATCTGCATCGTCATTTAGCTCTTTGTCAACTGATGAGAATGAATCTTTGACAATGGATATGTTTTCTTCTGCTTATGAAGTATGTTATATAATAATGGTTAAAGTTTAAACTTTTAGATATTTTTTAGCGGGTCATAATCAACTAAGAGAATAAAAACAAATTAAATAAAGGTGTAAAAATGTTTTTAAAAAAAAAACTAAAAAAATAACTGTATAATCAATGTTGTACTGATTAAATGCTGTTGGTCACCTTACAATCAAATTACTAATACAAATGACTTGATGTCAGCAAAAATCTTATTGTCTCTAACTACGTAACACGGAAAATCGGTTCTATATCAGTGCAGTCACTGAGATTAGTGGTCACGTTGTAAATTAGTCTTTGAACTTTAATCACAAGTACAGATTTAAAAAAATGACATTAGTTTGTATTCAGTGTGAATATATCACTTTCACGGGATATCTGTCGAAGCTGAAACAGCTATGTGATAAAATTTCTGACATTAGGTGGTATAGTTTCAAATCTAGTGACAAGGATGATGTAACTCATTTACCAAGTAAAGACTCGTGTAATTGGTTTTGAGTCACATTTTGTCTGTGAATGCTGATGACTCTATACGTCTCCTCAAAAAGAAGTAGGTGCAGCGGAGCTTCAATTTTGGACATAGTGACTAAAGTCCAAATGTCTTGATCACTATGTAGCCATGGGTAACCATAGGCTCAAGTTTCTTCAGTTACCTGATCCCTTTTGCCACCTGTCGAGACATTTTAAGAAACTCAGTTCTTTTAAGAGACATATGAAAACATTTTAAACAAGGAAAATGATAAGTTTTCAATTTAATGTTTAATTTACAGTCAAAAAGTGGCGGGCAAGTGTGCACTTTAGATTATCGGACATAAATTGTTGTTGAGTAGAGAAAATATGTATTTTTAAACAAAGGGATAGCCTCAGTGCAGAAATAATAAGTGTCTTTTTCCACTCACTGATAAAGCTGTCAAAAAGGCAGCAGTTTCACATTTTAAGTAACCACGTTAGGATTGACGTCTACATTGAAGCATATAAATTGTGATGATATCTACTGATTCCATATGCTTTAATTTATATGACGTGTATGGGGGAATCGGTTATGACTGTTCGAGTGTATTGATGTCCTTCTTAATCTGCTTTTAAATCTTGAATTATTTCATACTTTGGAGGGATATTTTTCATACGTTTTTGTTTTCTGTTGTCATTGATATTTATTTATTATTTCGATTGTTTAACATTTCAAATATTGAGTCGGTTATTTTATCGCTATTATGTCACAGGATGTTACAGAAGTTTCGGCAGATAGATGTACATTGTGATATTTGCATTAATTTGTAATCACCATACACTAATAAATGGTTACTCTATAAAAGTAAACTAGAAACTATCAAACATCATGAAAGAATCTTATTTACTTAATAAATGTATTACTTACAACTCATCTTTAAAGATGGACACTAATTACTAACACCAATTTTATCATAAAGGTTACTCTATGTTTTATTTATGAGTTCATATTCCACCCTCTCTGTTTCTACTATACTCCCAATGTTATCAGATTTTATTTCTTGGCCCACCCATTAAAGAATTTCATTCATTCAACAAACTCAATTGGTAATTAATTTCAATTAACTATATCTCGATGATTTGTTAAATTGGGACCTTTCTTTCTGATTAATTCTTCATTTCATACCACTATTGCTTTTTCATCGATTCAATGAGAATTGTTTCAAAAGCCTGGAAATTCACTTTAAACAACTTTAGAAAATTATTATTGACTGTACCAATGGTTTATTTACCTTTTACTCTATGACTAAACATTGAAGTTGATGATCTGAATAATTTTTTTTTTCAAAGGTATGTACCTGTATTATGCCGTACAAAACGAACAAACTAACAAAGAAACACTAGAATATGTGTATACAACATTGCTAGCAGATAAATAGGGATAACATCTGTCTAAACTTTATAAATTGTTTGCGAAATCCGCCCAATTTTATTTTCACTATATTTATTTCATCCAATGTATTGAACTTTTGACCAAAACGCCTTGAATTATACCTCATCTTGTATATATATATATATATATATATATATATATTGATGGATTCACTTTCAAAAACAGCCTTTACACAACGATTGAATTACTAGTATTTTTCTTTCCCACCGCTGAAAAAATAAAAATAAAAAATCATCACCTGGTAAAACTGGGTTACTCAGTATTTTTTTTTTTGTAAAATGTTGGTGCGTTGGGCAAGAAAATCAAGTTATTCCGTTAATCCTTTTTTTCCAAATGGAATATTGACTAAGTTGATGCATCATTGCAATTTGTTTTTTTTTATTTATGTCAAGTGCTTACCTGTTTCAATTCATAAATTTAATGATTATTTGACTATAGAAGAGAAGAAAGAATTTCAATTATATTAATTAGTAGGTGTTTGGATAGAGGAAAAATGCAATTCATTTTTATAACATTTTTATAACAGCATATGTTTAATATTTTATGAAGAGGTAATGGGAATCGCTCCACTACATTGAATTATTATTACAGTTTAAATGTTGATTATAAAAGTCCAATCTATCAAACCATGTGTTATAGTTTATTAAAGTGTATGGAATAACAAACAATCAAATATATTTGAATAATTTTGAATGGTTTTTGTTTTTCTTTCATTTAACTTAGTGAAATTCAGTAGCATTGTATTATATTAGCATTGTAATGCCAAATATTTTCTAGTATACTGTATATCTAATATGATGAAAGAGAGAAATGAACTATTCATTTATTCATTCTCTGTGTGTATAAATAAACACAATCAATTTAATGAATGTACCAATTCTTAGATAATATTCAACTTTGAACCATAAATTGATTCAGTGTACAAGTGATAACTTTTTGGTTATTGAAAATAATAGTCAGTGGAACTTGATTCAACTTTGTGTAGAGATAATGAATATCCTGAATACTTATAATTTGAATGTCTTTTTTATTAAACTATAATGTACATGAGTGAGGTATATTTTCTCAGAATAAAACCATATCATATATTGCAGCTTAATACAACGCTGTTACATGATTGTTATTCAGTTTCTCGTCTAATTTACAATTATTTAGATTATTGTTTTGCATACTTATCATTTGAAACCTGTACATATAGTTGTGTTGTTAAAACTTACATTAATATCTAAATAGACATAAATAGAACATCATCTTTGTTCTTTAGTATTTATGTTTTTGATCTTGTTGATAAACTCTAATATATATATATATATATATATATATATATTATATGAAACAGTTAGGCCTATAGACACTTAGTTACCAGGGTTATAGGAATTAATAAAGGTACGTAAACGGGATATCCCACTGAGACACATTTTGGACATGTACAGTAACCTTCTTAGTAAAGGTATTAGTACCCACTTTAAAACCACTCCACAAACACCTAATGAAGCATAATATCCAGTATATATTATTGTGAGAATTATATATACTTATTTTTCACTTATATTATTTAAGGTCTCGAACAACAGAATACATGTATGTCATTATCCTTACCCACATGGTTCACACATCTACTAATTCAAACCAATCTAAAATTTCTATGATTTAATCCAGCATGTTCAATTTCATCAATTCATTTTATTGAATCAAGTATTAAGTAATTACAAAAAGTTTCTTAAATGAAATCAAATCATGATTTTCATCTAATGTACGTACCATGCTTAAAACAGTAATTATCACTTCAATTCAGTGATCAATGTACAGTCAGTTGATTGAGTTAAACAAGAACTATGCAGGATTACAACGATTTGTTACACAAGCACTTTTTTTTTAATAAGAGTTTATAAAATATCAACCATTTTGGATACGACAAATTATTCATGTTTTTAAAAACTCTCTCAATGAATGAAATAATCATTTGACTAAACAAAAAAAAAGTGAAGGTAATTATTATTTCGATGTTTTGTTTTTTAGATTACATAAATCTCAGTAGGTTATCTCAGATTTTCAATTGATAGAACATGCATTGACACTCGCGGAATGTTGTCAAATTCAACTCATCACCTGACCTTACTGACAACAAGATGATAATCATATCGACAACTAGTTTGTAAATTGAGCTATCCAATCTACTGTGGCATTTTTTTTCTGTTAGATAATTAGAAAGATGTTACATTTTCTTAATTCATTATCACATAAAAGAAATAAACACTAAATTTTCATGCAATTTAGTGTATCTTAAACAATTGCATTTATACAATTTACCTACTATTTTTTTATTGAGCATTGGTCATAACCATGTCACATTTATTTATTCCTTTATGACAAATTAATGCATCGTCGTATTGTTGTGCAAGGTAACATGTTTCAATGATCAATTTTAGGATTACATTTAATTACCTATTATTTGTTATTACTCAGTCAGTCAGTTATAACGTTGAACTTCGTACGTAAGTACATCAGTTCAAGTTGCCATACCACAGAAGCACAGAGACGCAATTGGTTATTCAAATTTCCATAGTAGTAGCGATAGTAGAAGTATTACTGTGTAGTAAAGAAGATTAGGATTTGAAGATATTATTCAAGAAGTATAATTAAGTGAGATAAATTTAGAAAGACAAAGGTAGATATGTTGACAAATTGAGAAGATTAGAATTTGAGAGAACACAAAGAGTGGATGCACCTGCACCATTACAAACGATTTTGAGCCATGTTATTCAACATCTCTAAACATCGGTGACATACTTCTCGCAGACACCCCAACTAGGTAGCCTACATCTACATCCCAGGATATATTTGAGACAATGTCTTATCTATTACATATAATTTTTCATCGTGTTGATAGAACACTGGGACAGTCAATCTCCCATTTGGAACATCTTTGTTAAACTGTTTTTTTTACCTTTTTACGACTCTAATAAGCAGGAGAAACATAATTCGGAAATGTGAATTAAGCAAATAGAGAGAATTGTGAAAGATAAATTTTCAAGAAATTTTTACTATTTACATTATTATCATTAAGCATTTGTTCAATATTCATTATTATTTTCATCCGTTTTTAGCTGAAATATTTCAAGAGTACTATTCAAAACCATTGATTACAGCCTAAACAACAGAGTATAATACTTTGTTAATGAATATAATTTATACACTTACTGTTCCGATCAATTTTTTCGAATGCCAGTTTAATGATAGAAGTTATAGTGAGTTTTGTATCTACAAGATGGCGAGTTTACTTCGTGTATGATTTGATCGATCAGATAATGAATGAAGAAAATATTTCATAAGCAATTTATGATATTCAAAGAGTTTATCAGTATTTCATTTTTATTTAAAGCACTTATTTGACTATTGTTTAAAGTAATTTGTACATAATCCGTTGTAGAAAAAAAAACACTGTTAATAACTTTTCTGTATGATATATCAATGAAAAAAAATTCGAAAAACATTATGCCAAGAATCCAATACAATAGCCGTCCAACAGTGATTACTCTAAATGACCTGTCATATTCCAGTATGACATAGATAATCTTAAATCTAACAAGAGTTTCTTAACAAACTAACTGTTAAAAGACTTCGAGAGAAGAAATTGTAAATGTTTGGAATGCAGTGTGTTCTAAGACTTTAATAAAATTATATCAGCCAGTAGTCTATAACAGATTTGAACATTCTTTATGTTTTTTTTTTCGTTTTTCATGTAGACATTAAAAATAATGAGCTGATCTAAAATAGTTTTCCATTTAATCAAATTCTAATTTTATTATTTATTCCAAAAGACTGTCTAACAATTATATACGCATCTATACAAATAATAACGTTTGTGAAATTCACTAATTACAGCATATAATTGTAATTATTTTTTATCAAACTGTGTTCATGTTTATACTTTCAGAATGTTGTCCTCAATAATAATGATAATGAAAGTGATTATGTGACATCAAATGATTCACAACAATTGACAGAGTTTATCAATAACTCTCAAAGTGAGTTTATCATTATTTGTTGTAAGTGTTTTATTTCAAAATACTGAATTCTCAATAACTTTTCATCAGTATCTACTTTGTTCGCATTTTATTCTTTACTGTTTTGAACTGCAGAATAACCGACAAAAATCCATACATCATATCTTCACTGGTGAATTCATAGTTTTCGAATAGATTTCCTAAAATGCTGTTAGGTTGTTGTGTTGACTTAAATCAATTAAGTGGTTACGAAACAGACAACTGCTGGACTTTTGGCAGTTTTCAGCTAAAATCGCTTCTAAATGAAAATCTTTTTAACTCATATAGATTATTTTACAAACCATTTTGATAAATAAATGAGTAAAAATAAATTATATTAATGATAAAAACGAGATTAATTGATTGACATTAAATTATTAAGACATCATCGAACAGTATATTATGTAGGTAAATATTGATTTTTAGATTGTTAGTGAATTCTCTGATGTTTGAGACAAAAAGTTCGTGACCTGTAAAGTCGGGAAGATTGAGTTTAGCATAGCAGTAACATTGCATACTAGCTATATTATATTCTATTGAAGTTGCTTAAATTTAAGATTTTGAATTAATTAACTGGCTAAAAAATATCATATCCTATTCTCCAAGATTAAAAGTCATAGGTTCGATCGCCCGTAAGACAATCGATTCACGCTACTGAAAAGTTATAAACTGGAATGTAACAGTTTTCAAACCTGTGTAGTATTCAGTCATTTATTTTTCTTTTAATTTAAAGCCTGGGTTAATGAGTATCATGTTGTCTGATCTTGTTAGCCTGAGAGACCTGGAAGTGTGACCGCAGAGCCCAAGGGACAACTGCTTGAGGCCGGTCACACACGGCCTTTTTATGAGTTTTTAAAGTATTAGTTCTGCTCTTGTTTCAAAGACCTTACCGCCTGAGACGGAAATCCGTGAGGTAAGGTGAGGTGTGACATCTTTAGGATCGACATTTTCTAACCCCTTCCTTCCTTTTGAGAAGGCAGAATCGCTGTAGATGCTGGTTGTCTGAGGGAAACACCTTACTGCTGTAACACTTCTCTACGGTCAACAGTACGACTTCGCCCCCAGACCTTGAGTTGCTACTTTTAGTCTTACCGTTGTCCGACAGACCTATCGATTGTGGTAAAACCTACAGCTCCAGCCAATATATCTAGGTCGGGTCATCACGATAGGCAGGCCCGACCACCACATCAAGGTAACAGCTGTGGTTTGGCTTCGCATGCGGCGAAGAGAGAAGTCAGCTTAGGTGCAGACTGATAAAAAGGCCTACGCAGTGATAACGAACAGTGATGGTTAGCCAAAGCAAGAGTGGTAGTAAAGGCAGCAATGATAGCGAATATCAGACAAATCTTCCGCCCTATCAAGGAAACTGGTACTGGGAATCCATCTGTTAGCGAAGCTATCTCAGAAAAGGATGTCTGTATCATTCATTGATGTGCAGAACAATTCAGTTCAACTGGCCTTCAGCCACACTTCGGTTGACGTCGATCTCCAGTCAACATGAATGGTGAATTGTTTTAGGACCTCCAACTCTTAATTAGATTGAAAAAATCTATAGGAAATCTTAGACAGAGTCTGGTAACTGGGCACAATCCTATCTGACTGCTCTCAATCACCATTTGTCCCGGTCAGTGAGAAAGGACAAAAGTCCTCTTGTGACAATCACAGAGGAATTAGTCTAACTTATTTAGTGTCTAAATTGTTAGCCTCGATAATACTTAAACATTTAACTAGAGTTCGTGAAGAGCAGTCTCGGGAAAACCAGGCTGGTTTCAGACATGGACGTGGCTGACAGGTCCTGGAACACGGACATACACTTAGACGTCCGACAATAGTTGTCTTCTTTGATCTTAAAGCGGTATTCGACTCTATAGATCGTGAGGATCTGTTGCAGTGTCTGTCATTTAAAGGAATACCAGTGAAGTACGCTAACCTGATACGAGCCCTCTACTCGAACACTACTAGTGGAGTTATAGCTTATTGCGAACTGTCATCGGAATTGATTACTTGGAGTGGTGTCGTCAGGGATGTCTACCTTCTCCATTCTTGTCATAGACATGCTTCTAGATATCACATTATCTTCGTCTGACTTTTCAGGGGTCGACCGTCTACCAGGAGACTGTCTTGTTGACTTAGAATATGCCGGTGACATAATTAAAACATATATTATTTTGTGAGATTTTCATTTCGATGTATTTCTGGTTAACTTTAATGTCAGTTTTTTAATTTATTTACTTTCCAAGTTTTTGAGGTGTGTCACAACAAGTGATGATTTATTTTATTCTTAAGTCAAACAGCCTGTCTCTTCGTGTAACGGTAATGAAAAGAAGACGATAGTATCAGCGGTACTGAATGAGAGTGATTCAACATTAAAGTCTTCAGCTGTGCAAAAACCTAATAGTTATACTAGTGCAAACGAAAGATCATATAATAGTGTTAAACCAGCTAATAATGTCCAAATTGAAGATAATTCAACAGATCATTCTCTTCTTAAATATGATCGACGTGATAAATATGGTCACATTCCTAGTTTACCTCGTTCACGTTCTTCTAAACGTCAGCAGGTGAGTGATAACTACATTCTTATATTCTCATCTCTTAAACACGCATGTTTATCAAATTTATTTCTGTTGTTTGTTGAAGTAAATGTTATGTATCCAAGATTGACATTCTTAAAATAATCCACACAAAAACTGGTACTCTGTTTATTCAGCATTCGATTACTAAACTCTGAATCAATCAGTCCCATATCCGCTCCCCACATTTAACCTTGAATCACAGGCTTAGGAGCTGTTAATTCACAATTCTGTAACTTCTCTCTGCCCTGCCCTTGAGTCCGAAAGTCAGCAACCAGCTTATTCCATATTTGCATTTCAAACAGACATAGTTTATGTACAACCAGACCAAAACTGCATTACACCATAAAATAAAAAATAACTTTCATCCACGAACAAGCTAAAAAGTGGCTGTGAATAAGGGAGCTGTAAATGATAAGCTAGCAGCGAAATATGAATCATTCCTTCGATCTTCGTTCTTATATATCATAAACTCTTATCTTACATATATTATAATTGCAGCAAGTTAAGAATAGTTGTTTTGTAATAGTTCTGATTTACTTTCAGCCAATAACACTACAAGTGCTGATGTATCTTAGAATATAAATGAACTTTCTCTTTCGTGAGACAACTACCTATTGATACAGACTGATTCTGAAGCAATATTCTTTGAATTCAATTTCTTACAAGTGAATAAATGGTTGCCGTATACAGAGTTTGTTTAACCACATCACATATATAGTTATGTCGAAGTTAAACTATACCAACACAGGTTATCTAGTCAAATATTGGCAAATATTTAACATACAATAAACAATATTCAAAAACTTGATGACATTTACAAGCGATAATTTTGTTACCGAAAAAATTGATGAATCGACAGATTATTCTTAATTGTGAGAATCATTTAGCATCTAATTAACTCTGTATCATTGTTTCTCATTGTGACATATTGATTGCCTTACTGAAAACTTATATGCTTCTCAGTCGTAAGTAGTTATGTAACTATTCGATGTGAAAACCACAAAACCTTATTCCCACTATCTCCATTATCAGTTTCTTTAAATTCTCATCAAGTGTTATTTTAATAATAATGTACTAACTATAATATATACATATATATATATATATATATATATATATATATATATATATATATATACAATGACTAATTTATATTAATTATTATTATTATTATTATTTTAGATAACACATGATAAAAGCTTTCATCATAGTTCAGGTTACATAACACCAGATTCATATTTATCAGAAAATTATAATCTATCTCAAATAAATGAATATGATTGTCAAAATATGAATCAATATCATCAAATTGATGAACAATCATTGAATCAAATTAATCATAATCAAATAGTATGTGATCGTCAACATTATCATCATCATCAACAGCAGCAGCAGCAGCATTTACATAAAACTGATCAATACGCGCAAGATATTATTTCTAATCAAATAACACATAATAATGTAACTATGCCTATGCCTACAGAATGTACTTTAAAATTTTCTAAACACTTTAAAAATTCTCTGCATAATTATCATAAATCACAAATAAACGCATATCACGATACAAATATACCACTTTCTATTGATTATTTCAATAAAGATATCAGTAAACAGGTTGAAATTGAAAATATAAATCAATTGGAGTATATGAAAATGAATTCGGTAAATAATACCATTAAATGGGATGAATTAAATTCTGATAATTTAATTAAAATTAATCAATTACGAAAAGTAAGTCAGCATGATGAGTTAATTCTTTTTTATTTTATTTTTTTTCGTAGGTTACTAGCCTCTCGATCATCGGTGTCTTCGAAGCATTGCTCGTATATCCTGGGATATCCTAGTGAAACTTCATCAGCTGAGGTTGTTGGGACATGTGTTACGTATGCCTAACCACCGACTGCCTCGACGAGCTATGTTTTGTGGTGTAGGAGTAGGTTGAAAGAAAGCTAGGGGCGGCCAGACCAAAACGTGGCAGAAGTCAATTAAATCACTGACAAGTGAACTGAATCATTTTGATAGATGTAGGCTACGTGGTTGGGGTCCGCGAGACGAAAGTTACCAATGGTTAGAGACCTTGAACGACATGGTTCATAATGGTTCGCAATAGCGCAGGTGCATCCACTCTTTGTGATCTATGAAATTCTAATCTTCTGAATTCCTCATCATCTCTATCTTCCTCTTAAATTTATCTCACTGAATTATACTTCTCGAATCAGATCTTCGAACCCTAATCTTTTCCATTACTGATAATACTTCTACTATCGCTACCACTATGAGAGTTGGACTGACAGTTGCGCTTCTGTGCTGATGTGCTATGGCAACCTGAATTGATGTACTTACGTACAAAGTTTTGCTTTGTATCTGTCTGTCTGTCCAACTTAGACTATGTTACTGTTTCTGTTTATAATATATATATATATATATATATATATTTATATATGATGAATTGTATTTTTATGTTGAGTTCATTTACTTGTTCACATTCAAACTAACTGATAAAAAACAACATTAGATCTAGAACAAGTAAACATCAATTTAAATTGCTACAATTCTGGTTTTCAATTATATTTTTTTCTAATAAACAATAGTTCTTATGTATATAATAGATAAAAGTAATAACACTCTTCTTTTTCTTTTCACATTTTCACACTCTGACGTTTGCTGTTTTCTCATCAATTGTTCTCATTTTTAATTCATTTCTTTTTGTTTAATCCCATTGTCATTGTTGGTTATTATGCATAAAATGTTGTTTCCTTTTTACAAATTTCACATTTCATTGCCAATATTCCCTTAAACTCTTAGCTCTTCTCTTTGTGTTCCGTGCGTCAGTTATCCATTCTATCGAGTTCTTGTAGATTTAATTTTATATCAAAGAATATCCTAAATCACTTGTAATTAATCAATCATCATCATTATAGGCCTTAATCACAAACTTCGAAAGTGACAATTTATCAACACAAGAAATGAATTATAATAATTCAACTTTAAAATCACAATAATCTACTAGAATAGCGTATAGAATATAATACGAATAGCGTAAAGAGAATGTTTTATTTCAATAATGATTTATATTAAGATATTTTATATAAACTCACTTAGTTTTGTATAAAGTTGATAAATTTCCATGGGGAAATGAAATAATAATAGATTGAAAAAACATATTCTTAATATCAAAATTCGTTTGAAAGCTATGCTATTGATTTCCAGGAATTATTGCTACTTACTTACGCCTGTTACCCCCAATCGAGCATAGACCGCCCACCAGTTCCCTCCAACCAACTCCGTCCTGGGCTTCCCTTTCTAGTTCTGTCCAATGTTTGTTCATTCCTCTCATATCTTTCTCTATTTCTCGGCGTAATGTATTCTTTGGCCTTCCTCTTTTCCTTTTGCCTTGAGGGTTCCAAGTGAGGGCTTGTCTTGTGACACAGTTAGGTGCTTTTCTTAATGTGTGTCCTATCCCCTTCCACCGCTTCTTCCTGATTTCCTCCTCCACTGTAATTTGGTTCGTCCTCTCCCATAGTACGTTGTTACTGATAGTGTCTGGCCAACGAATCCGAAGTATTTTGCGTAGACAACTGTTCATAAACACTTGTATCTTCTGGATGATGGCTTTGGTAGTTCTCCAAGTTTCTGCTCCATACAGTAGAACTGTCTTGACATTTGTATTGCTTCTTATCTTTTATAACACTCTCCCATATCTTATATAAAATAATGAGTGATGGTGATCAAAAAAACAGCTTTCAGTATAAAAAATTTTTTGTATTTATTTCACAATTGTTCTTATTCAAGTTTTTTTTTCTTTTTGATGATAATTTTCACAGATAATCGATAAAGAATTAAATATTCGTCTACCAGTTAATCCAAAACACTTAGCTATTGAATTAAGTACTGGTGTTATTTTAATTCATTTATTGAATAAATTTATTGGCTTAACATCAAATATTAAAGTGAGTTTATTTTAACCTGTAATTGATGCATTTAAATGTTATTGTATTTTGTTTAATGTGTGAAAATTGGTGACATTCTCTTGGTCCTTACCTCAGCGTCCCCCACCCCACACTTAATAAAAGTAAATAGTAATTATTTGAACTGCTTATATGAGTAACAATATTGATCGAAAGGGTTTTAAGCAGAGATAGGTAATGGTTAGAAATGCAATGTAGGATGCTCGTTTCATATCATCTGAAACTTATTGGCTGAATGTACTTTCATCTCAAAGTTGATGTTCATGCCAGGATTTAAATCTTGTACCTTTCACTTCAAGTGCCAACATGTTGTCCATCTAGGTACTGAGCTTTAAAAATGTCCGGCTTTAAAAGGCAATATCTACTTGAAGAATGCTACAAAGTGGTGATTATTTGAGTAGTACGAGTAAAAGTCAATTTATAAAAGAACATTAAAAAATTAGAATTTCGTCAACATAAGTAGTGGTTTTTTCTCTGTATTTAAAACGATTTAATTTGAAATTTTGGATATAAACTATGTATAAGAAAATGTCTAAAAGAGTGGGATACTGTGATATTTGTTTGTCTTAAAAAAAAGGGAACACTTAATCATTAAATAAGCATCGATAAAGTCTTCATATAGTTTAACTTGTGCTTTTACATATAAGACAATATGTATCAACATAAATTAAGGCAAAACGTCTTATGGTCAAGAAGTTCACAAGGGTAATTGTTCTGTTACGGCCTATCGATAGACGGATTAATATTCCTAAGAAGTTGATGAACCTACTTCGAATTTTATATACGTCATTATATACTACTAGTAAGTAGCTCAAAATAATTTGAACGATTACATGAAATACGATACTATAAAACTTTTATTTATGAATTAAGTAGTAGTCTCATTGAAAGTTATCAGTGTACACACTATCAACATCCGATTAATGCAAAGTTGATCAACCGTTGGATTTCGGAGCCTATTTGTGTTATCATGTGTCGTGTTGGAGATCTGAATATGATACGCTCTAGCCCTTCAAACTAGCTACTTGAACGAGAAGGCGAGAGCAGACAAGAAAGTCTACTTTGCTACCGAATTATATGTACAAAAACTCGTTCATATATATATATATATATATATATATATATATATATATATATGTCATCAGATGACCTTACCACTTGGCCACTTGTGATTGGCTCAGTATACCAGTTTGCTTGATCCTCGTTTACGAAACCTAAAATTTATTTAATCAGTACAACTCTCATACTGGCAACTAAAATAATCATTTATCTTTATCAGAACCAAGTTAATATTATTTAATGGAATGTGTTCGGTAGGATTGATACAGAGCTTACTCTATCGCTTACCTACAAATATCTAGTCGATAGAATTCAATGAACACTAAGAACTAGATTTGACGTTGATTACGCTTAGCTAGTGAATCAACGTAAAATTAACCTTTCAGTTTTAAATTTCAGACCAAATCATTATTTTGTATACTCCTATTATAGAAGTGTAATTGAATATTTCAACATTCAATAAATTTATAAAAAGGTTTACAAATTACATCTGTCTTATTTTATCAAACTTCACATGCTGTTCATTTTTCATTGTTGAATATAGATGAAATAACCTTTGAAGTTCATCTTTTATGAATGTTAATCATTAATTAAAGTTTATAAGAAATGAGGATCCTTTTAATTGAGACATAAATTTCATGGATTGATAATATCGCCTAGTTATTATGATTTGTAATCAGTTGAATCATCGTAGTTTTTTTACAGTTGAAATCATAAACAAATCTTAGCGCTAGTTCACAATTGAAAACCTGGAAGCACTGTGAGGTCATGAGATTCCCATAACTTAACACTCAGTTAAGTTTGCATAATTTGAAATGAGTAGTGTTTAACATCAATTAATCAATCATTTACTGTGTGAACACATATTTACCAGTCCATTCTACGAAGCATTTATAACTAAAAAAATATTACTGATAGACTGTATTCTATAATTACTACTTCTCAGGATATGAGATTAGAAAAATACATTAATTTAACATGTCATTCACACTCCAAATGATTTACTCTTAACTTGTGCTATTATATATAATGCTAAGAGTTCTGAAAAAGTCAACAGGCTAAGGTATTTAAGATATTCAGTCAGTGTTATAATCTATCCTCAATGGTAATTTATAAAACTTGTTTCGGGTTCAGTTCTGACATGAACTGATATGATGTATATGTACCGATCGAATATTGAATATCTAGATAGCATTTATACAAATCAGTAAATACTCATCCATCATGATGCATTCTTGTCTTAGATTTTCATCATATAACTTGAATTAACCATCTTGTACTAAAAAGCAATAGTAGTTATTAAGTTTGTTCATTTGCAGTTTATTATATGTTAGATGGGTCGTTTGATTTTCTGAGTCTCTCTGGCTTACCAACCTAATTACTACTAAGTATAGGATTAATGTTAGAATAGATGGGTTTTGAAGACTGTTAAAATATGAAATTGATTTTTCATTGTGCGCTGATATAAACTGGATAGATCAATGAAAACATAAGCAGATATCGAAACGGTTATTCAATGCTTTTTAAGACCACTCGATAGTTCTCAGACGTTTTCAATAGTTCATTAGTGGGTGTCCGTTTGTAGCTGATCGTGAACGATATTGCATTTATTTAGCTTTTTTTAGTGCTGGTCAAATTCTACATATCAAGTCCCAATATGTCTACTGGTCTGAATGCGTTAGTAGGGGATCTAAACTGAATTAAAGCATGTCTAATCCAGGACTATGTTAAGGCACTCTAATCGGAACATTCGTAGACAATCAGCGCTAGAGGATGGCCGGACAAAATTCTAGAGTATTCTTGCGTAAAAATTACAAGTATTCTACCGTTTTTAATACTATGGTTCTTTCACATTCAGCTGGATTTGTCAGAATATGAATAACCACTTGTTCAAGCCGTGTTCTAATTTCAGGGACTAGTTAAGCGTTGCTCAGTGTTGAAGAATGCTAAGTAGTATGATAGCAGGGTCGTATAAGCGAGATCATTAATAGAGTATAACTGTGATCTTGAGGAAAATAGTGATCACTGTTGTTTTCAAACACAAGTCATCTAGCTTCACAGTTTGTGACGTTACTACTGAGCTATTCAAGCCGAGATTGACCTCGAGTATACAGAGATGAAGATTCACTTCGAATTTACCAGTAATCTTCACAAATCACACTTCATAATTTATGAATTTCGTATTTTGGTTCTTAGAATAGAATGTTATTTGAAGCACAGAGTAGTTTTTCTCCATAACCCTATAATGCTTTTAGATGTAACAAACAATACGAAACGATGTATTATATCCTGTAAGTTTTACCAAGAACAGCTTATCATCGAATCAGAAGGTTTTTAGTTTGGTTTTATAAAATGAACTTCAAAAGTTACTTACAGTTTGTTCATGGTGGATCATAGTGAAGAGATGTGCATACTTTTTCACTTCTTTAATTTTTTTATTTTATATAAACTTACTCATTGTATATACACTCTGCCCAATATTTTTTCTTGTTAACAATCTTTTATTGTTTTTTTATAATTGTGAATATCTGTCAAAAGTGATTTCATTTACATTGTTCTTTCGTACATTCACATTCTTATTTAGGTTTGTGTACCTAGAAATGATCGACGTGATAATATGCTGAGTGAAGTACTTAGATCTTATCGTCAAAATTTGAGGCGTTGTCGTGAATTAATATATCGTTATGGTGTACCTAGAGTAAGATTAACAATAATCATAGCTAATAATGATTTGGTTGTTCTTTTAAATGTTTCCAATCTAAATAAATTTTAATTTCTAGGCTATTTTGATTAGACTCAGTTGTTTCAGCTAAGTATATATATATTAAGGGAGAAGCTTTCATCCTCTATCTATAAAACAACATTTATATTTAATTTACGTCGCATACAGTGCAAACATTAAAGTTAAAATTATTTCCTGATTATTTCAATTTCAACCATGTATTTATGGCAAACAGATGCTTAAACTGGATGACCCATCTTTAGAAAATCCATGCGCTAGTGTAATTCCATCCCATTCAATTTGGTTTATTTTGAACATAAGTGCTTACCTGCCCAGGCTGAGTTCTGATTTTGGGGACTAGTTGGTCAAAGTAGTGTTCGAAAAATACTAAACAATAAAAGTCACTGGACAGAATCTTGTAACAGTTAACGAATATACACATGTACATGTATACATGTACCTTCTCAAATATTTAGAAATAATACAGATATAACAATAATATAGAATCTTTTGATTGAGTCAGAAGAGTTTTTTGTACTTTGTATATACATTTCCAAGTTTACTGATTACAATATTCATAATCTGAATTATTTCTTAGATATTTGTAGTCCATAAATTAGATAATTACTTTGTAAATATCCTACTTATTCTTGAAGTGTAATTTAATAATAACATAAATGAATATGCTGTGTTATTCAACAAAATTAAATGTAGTAGGTTATAATTTTTTAGCATATTCACCAAATATCCTAAGAGTCTAATTCTATTGGTCAATCCCTATAGGTCGTTCTAACTATCAATGTCCCACACCTAAATGTTGTCTCCTATTCGACCTAACTGTATAAATATGCATTATCTGTAACGTTTTATGACCGGGATCCTTGCCTTCTTCTGGACTCGGACCTCATATTTCCTGGATGTTTGTGGAATACACGTTCTACTTCATATCAATCAAGTCTTCTTCTTCTATTTAATGGGGGTTTGGGGCGCTTGGATTAGAGTAGCCTGTTGTGTCACTGGATCATCGATCCTCGCTTTTGTTTACAGATTAGGTTAAACTCGTAATAGTTCAAGCATATCCAATGATGTGGTCACGTGCATGCGTAACATAATTTTCTTCAGAAATGTTGCTTTGAAAATTTATAATTACCATATTTCTGAATAGTATTACATGCCTGAATTTCACTGTTAAATGATTGAAATTCAGTAGAATATATAATATTCTGTTGAAATAATTCAAGAGACAAAATGATGAAAGTCTAGACAAAAAATAATCCTTGTCTGATAAAAAAAAGTTTAATAATTAACAAATTCACTTGTTTCTTTTTTTTTGCATTTGTCTTATAAAACAGGAATATCTGTTTTCCATTGAATCCATTGTCAATCCTCAAACTGCTAATGGTTTATTATCTTTGGCTAATTCAATCTCTATTTTACACAATTTACGAAATAATAAATCTTCCATGAATACTTCATCAACTAATAAACTTCAAGAAGATTTTGATGCAAATACAGGCGGAAATCAATACAATGCTAAATTCTCACAAGCCCAATCAACATCATCATCGGCTTCACAACAACCGCATCGTCAACAGCAACAAACAAAACAATATCAACACATTGATAGGACAGAAAATCATCGTAAAATGTATCAAATTAATATTTGGTCAAATTATTTATGTTCAGATGTTTAATACAAATTAAAATTGTACAATTAAAATGCAATATAATATTATCTATCCTTCCTTTCTCTACTACTTCATGTTTGTATATTTATGATTGACATTCTTTGTTTGTTTGTCTGTTGTTGTTGTGTTTTTTTTACAACAGCAAAAATGTAATCATAATTACTATATTTTTCTATACATCTATTTGTATTATTGAGAAAGTTGATTTTCTTTGATAAGTTTAACATGGGAACTTGAAAAATTCCTTTACTGTTGTTGAAAAAGATCCTTACAATTTGTAATGTAAACAAAAAAACACTTTTTTTTTCCGCCTAATATTTTAAATAGGTTTTATGAATTCTCCTAACGGGAACAATTTAAAATTCAGTTTTTGTTTTGTTTTTTATATAAAAATGAGCATTTAATACATACAATTTTGTTTGGTTCCTAATTTTCATTTTTACCTTTCACTGACATTACTGATTTATGTGAGATTTCAGTACATTTGGACATTAAACATAGGTATAACGATTCATTGGCCTCAACTTTGCTTTGCCTACTTCAGTGAAGATAAATCGATGGTATCACATTAGGTAGCACTCCTCAAAGTTCATCTATACGAGCTGTAGTTGTATCTAATATGCGTTAACATCAGTGATAAATCAATTGGGTATATTTAGTATATTCTTCTATTTCTCTTAGTCTAGATTAGTGGTTGTTAAGACGACAACTAATGATATTCATGCCTCATCACAAGCGATTAATCTTCCCAGTCACTAAGTTAACATTTTAAACTTCAATAAATTCGTGATAATGAACTACATTCATCCGTTTCTATGGGTGATATATGTTTTACTCGTGATGAAATTGGAGATCGTCACTCATTAGAACTTCTGGAATCAAATATTGAACATACGTAAATATGTACATATACCTATCTTGCAATTAATTTCTCAGAATAGTCAGTAAGTTAATCAACAAGCTCAAATATATATTTTACAAGACCTTTATCCACAAATTCCATAAAAATTAAAGATTATCACAACATTCAATCTCTTATCTCACTAATAGAATGCTGTCCACATAGAACTTGTCTACAAGATAAATTAATTGTGGCACAGTTAGTTTACTGATAACTTTTATGATTGTTTCACTCAAATAACATCGACTGTGATCACCTTAGACACTTGCTGGTTTATTGATAGACGGCAGATGATATGAAATTCATGTTCAGAAAAGCTACCAACATCTTATATCATACAACTGATGCATTAATACTAAACTTGTTAACATCGTTACTGAAAACTCGTTCTCAGCACAACTCAAATTTAATTATTAGTAATATGTTCTATGAAATAAACAACGAATATTTAAATAAATGATTGTTTCCCATAACTTCATCTTCGGTCTCAGTTATCCTTGCAATAAACAGTATACTAGAGGATGAATAAAGCGATTTTGCTTCTATTACTTGTGCAAGAGATGGAACAGTAACCAAAAACCCAAGTCAAAGTAGATGGTTATTTTAAGGAAATACTCCCGATCCTCTAAACTTCCCAAATTAATCAAGTGGAGCAGTTAGCTTAAGACCCTATAATCTTTCTCTCACTTATTCAACAAAAACCTTGTCATATGAAGGTAGTAAGCAGGATTTCCCTAAAAGAACTTATAGACTCTAGGACGTATGAAGATTAGGGTATAATTTAGTGATATAACTTTAGAAAGAGAAAGATAGAGATGATGAGGAATTCAGAAGGTTAGAATTTCAGAGAACATAGAGTGGATGCACCTGAGATATAGCAAACGATTTTGAGCAACGTCGTTCAAGGTCTTCAACTATTGATGACATACGGCTCGCCAACCGCAACCTACTCCTACACCGAAAAACACAGCTCGTCGAGGCAGTCAGTGGTAAGACATACGTAACACATATCCCAACCACCTCAATTGATGAAGTTTCAATACTTCATCTATTGATCTTCCATCACTACCTAGTACTTGCTTCCTAACAACATCATTGCTTACTCGGTTGTCCCAAGCAATGCTTCATAGCCATTAAATGTTCAGTTTTATACTACATACTATATATATAAAGAAATTAGCAAGAAAAAAGGTATTTGTTCACCTTAATTTGGAATATATTGTAAGACTTTATTTAATTATATTAAACGATCAGATCAGTATAAAATGTATGCAACAAAAACGAAATCTTTTTTTGTTTACCAAATGATTATTATTGCTCATTATTTTATAGGTTATTTAATGTGAAATAACAAAAATTCCGCATAATTCAAAAGTAATTTCTTAGTTAAACTAATTTTTTTTTAAAAATAACGGAAAAACACCAGTTTTTTTTTTCATTCTTTTGAAATAACTGAATGAACTCTATAAGTTGATTAGTTTAGTTTATTTTTATTCAGTTCATTAATTTTTATGAGATTAATCAACATATCATCAGCATTATAATATACATACATACATATAATGTATTGCAATTATACACACAGACTACAAAATATTATGCACAAAGGTCTTGAATTATATTCATTGCTTGTTTTTTTCTGTTGAGGTTTATAAATGATTGTTTTGCTTTTTTTTTCACTCGTCATTATTTGTGATAAAATATTTCATATTAATATTTAAATTATAAATAAATATTTTCAAAAGTTATAGACGAGACAAAATTATTATATATTTCATATGATATATGAACCTTGTACTGTCTATTCAAAATCATCATTTATATTGTATGATATTATTATTATTATGTTAATGAATGGTTAAAGTTTAACTATAAATATTTAAATTCTTTCCTTTTATATTTTAGTTAATTAATAAAATAATTTTAGTTAAACAGTTAAAGGTTGAAAAAAAAAGAATCAACTAATGGATAACCAACTTGTAAGCATTTAAATTTCAGTGGTATCTATTTGCTAAAGATGTATTAGTTTGTCTCAGATTAGTCTAGGGATCAGTTTGTGGTAACTAGAAGAAACTATGTTTTCAATGCTAATGTGGATTTGCATTGAAACTATATTTGTTTTATACTTTGGAAGCAAAATTAGATTATCCAAATATAGTTATTGAAATAAACTATGGACGATAGGATAATGGATAGAGTTTTTTTCAACAGTATCAGATAGATCTCGTAGTACTTTGGTCCAGAAACAGTTATACATTAACATAAAGTACATAGGTGTCTACAGTTGTTGAAGATATTAAATTTAATCAGACACAATGTGTTTTATGCAAGTCACTTGTAGTTTAATTGTTTTGGTACTTACGAAACAGAAATACTAAAATCATTACAATTTAGAATTAATCTTTTTTTATAATTAGATTTTTGGAATGACCACAATCCAATAATTATTGATAACTAAGAAACACTGAGTAGTTGTTCCGTCTTTGTATTAAACTCCTCTGCAGTATGTATTCATGACCCTACCGGGATCGGACCTCAGGACTTTCCGGTCACAAGGCGAGTTATTAGGCTTTAGACCACTTAGCCAGTATCCAATGCTTTGCATGTCTAATGTTGATCAATTTACGGTAATTAATCGATCCAATAATTACGAATACAAGTGACCCTGATTCTGACACATTTTATTAGTTGCATGAGCAAAGTATATAGATAAGGTGATGAAGTGATCACAGGGAAAACCAATGATAACTACCGACATAAAATATAACGTTCCTATCAACAGATGTGGTCACTTAGGATGAATTTAACTTTAATAGGATGTCAGAAAACATACACAGACCACTGGATGTTATGAATGTTTTGATTTCTAAACGGTTTGGTTTTAATGTTAAAAACATATGTGTCACGGAATCGTGTAGCTAATATTCATACATTATGCAAACTAAATAGATTCAAAGATCTAATATAAGCATAATCATACAGTTTTTGAGTTATATTTACTGTACACCTTACATAGATTGTGCTAAAAACACTTGATCAAGAATATAACAATAACAAAATAATTTTTATTCATTATTCAATAATCTAGAGGCATTATGGATATAAATCAAAACATAAACATAATCACAAAATAATGACAATATTTCTTTAGAAAAGGGAAAATGACAAAAAGAGTGATTTGTTTGGGAGGAAAAAAAAAGATGACCGTGTCGTAAAATTGTTTAGAAGTTTCATAAATCAAGCCATGAATGAATTGTTTGTACCTCGATTTGACGAATTTGACGTGCTGATGGGGGATCATTTGGATCTGGTGACCTACGATAAGTAAAGTGAAGAAAATGTTGTAAGAAAAAAAAACTGATATTATCAATAATTGTATTACTACTTCGATAACTCTGGGATTATCCCTGACCATTTCGTTTCGTTGGATTATGGGGAACTTGAACTCACGTATACACATGTATTAGAGATTCTACGTTGCGATTAACTGACTGATATTGAACAAACACTTAACCGAATCATGATCGACTGTAAATTTCAACAGGTATTATATCACTCAACTATTTTACAGACGGTTTTAATTTGTAATCCATCTCATTTAGTCAGAGTAATTTTGTCAAACTATATTTTTATATGCAACTTTGTAACACAATCCTATACTTAGCCCAGTAGGTTAATTATGAACTAGTAGGGGTTGAGTGCATGACTATAGCGTTTCTATGAAATACAGGAAATTAGTGTTACCATTAGCTTGACTGGTATTTATGAATACTGTTTTCGTTCTCTCACCATATACTATTCCGTTACTCTTCAACTTCCAACTTAGTTAGGTGCTGATGAGAAGTTTGGCAAGGCCTAATTTAATTTATCAACTGAATACTTTTCATCAAACTAAAATAATTATAGAGATAAATCGAGTGAGAAAAAAAATAGCATATTCTTTTGAAACCACAAATGAATACCTTAAATCAAGGTGATGAGCTCCACCAATTAATACTAAAGAGATGACATTCGCTGATTGATCAGTTAAAATCTGCCAGTGAAAAAAAGGTGGAAAAATCCATTAGTGCACAGTTTGACTTCAAACATAGACAAATGCAATGAATTTAATAATTATAAATTAAAGAAAATCATCAGGTTTCATAGTTTTAATAATTAGATTAATACTGTTGGTAGACAATAAAAAATGTGCCTTGAATATGTTTCAGTCTGTGATTAATATCATTCTCATGAACAAATTTTATAGAAACATTCTGAAAATAAATATGCACAAATTAACCTATCAACCATATGAATAGCTATGCAGTCTATAAAAAAAATGGTTTGACAGATATAGTCTTTGATAGATAGTACTACCAAAATTTGCTATATCGAAGTTGTGACTACAGAATTAAAGTGTAACAACTTATTTGAGAATATATTAATATAATGTAATGAATGCATTTACAAAAAACATAGATTCATGTACTAGGTTGTGCACTACACTTTTGGATGTTTCCGTATGTAGTGTGACATTATCTTATAACTGCTTAAACCGACGTAGGTGAAGCAAAGTTTACAGATGACATGTATTACTTGAAAGTCAAGTAGTTTGACTATAAAGAGTCATCATTGCATATCTGTCTGTAACACTTAACTAATTAACTTGTTATATTTACAGTATATATATTAGATGATTTAGTACCATTGGAACAGGAGTCAAAATATACAGTACAGGAGTAGATTATAGTCTATAGTTAACTTTTGAGATAGTGAAGGGAATTCCTAGCTCAACAAGATTATCTTAGCCAATGCTTTTCTTGGCTAATGCTTCTGATAAGCCTCCGGATTAAAATCTCATCCAACTTAGAGAACGTAACTTTATCGAAAGCAGTCTATTTTTATTTGTCAAGCCTGGAGAAGTGGCCGTGGATGCTCATGGCTGAGAAGTTCCATGCTAGGAGATAACAGCTATTCAGTGGCTGTAAGTTAAATAACTTAGATGGTTTTGCGATCTCAGTTACGAAACATGAATTGTAACGAAAGGATACAATACTTTCAACAGGATTAAAAAGAACAATTACCTACAATCCTCACATGAATTACATGGAGAAAATGAGATGAGGTCCGATACAATAAGTCTAATTCACAAAAAATCTTATCCATCACCTAAAACTAGTGAGAAAAAGGTAAATATCCTACTTACTCCACCATTCATCCATGGATCCAAATTCCCATTCGAAAATATAATATTGCTTGCAGTTTTCCAAACTGAAAATATAGTTGTATTAGAAAAAATAGTTTGTATATTTTTTAAGGGTTTAGATGAAAAGAATTAGAATTATAGAATAAGAAGCCTAACAATCTAGACTATGTGATTGACATTACACACTAACGCTAAACAGAGAATAATAGCAAACTGCTGGTCAATGACTAAACAACCGATCCATCTTAATTTACAACCTAGCATGATCCAATAAGAGGATCTTCAAATTTCAAGTTGGGTTAGGACAGTTAATTAGCCATAGAGTGAGAATTTTTTATAGTTTATATCACGAATTGACATTCGATTATCATCACAAAGTAAGAAGGACTGGACTCCTAAACAGTGTGCATTTACAAACAATGACTTCTAGGTCTCCCGAAAAATGCCTAGCTTGAAACCCCTTGAATCGGGATTCAATGATTTACATTTCTAACTTTAATCAGCTAGCAAACATTAGGCAACGATTTCCTAATGTTACTGGTACGTAACAGCTTCATACAGTCATTAGTGAGCACATGGAGTGGTACTCAGAAATTGTGTAGTTGATGCTTGGTAAGATAACGAGTGCCATCCAGCACACTTATCGTTTTCAGTGATGATCTAACCAATGTCAGTTGGTTAAGTAAAACATGAGAAATTTTAGAGGGAAAAGAATAGAACAGAAGAAAAGGACCGTCAATAATAAATTTGCCGTAAAGTTAGTAATAAAAATAAATAAGTTTAATATATATATATATATAAATAAATATATATATAAAACGCCATATAAATAGCTATATTTTACTCATGGTTACTCATGGCAAAGGAAAATTAACATTCAGCAACTTAATGTTTTTGCTTTCGCTATGTAGCCATGCATGGGTTTAGATAAAATTTATCTAATATTTTCTATTCATCATTAGACAATCTACGATTGAAGGTGGAAAAGGATGAGATATTTATTAGTTGAACTATTGCAATATATATATATATATATATTTCCATGTTATTTATCAAGTACTTATTTTTCATTTAGTGAACATACTCAAAAGTAAACTAATACAATGTACTCAGTATTACATGAAACTCTACATATTTCCTAATACAAAAAAAAATCCGTTAGAATGTCAAATATTTACATTCTTTACTGAATATTGGTATAGAATGTGACATGCGACATTATTCTCGATACTGCATGCATATATAACAACCAGACATGATTGCATCAAGATTCAACAGAAAAAAAGCTTGATTATTCATAGATGCAAAAAAAAAATGTACGTAGTGTAGATAATCGATAAGATGATGGGCTCATTTATCTATTAAGAGCATATGATAAAACTTTCATTTGATTCAAGTTTGTCAGAATGCATAATTCAGCTAAGCTGTGAAAAAAACCTACTTTACGTTTGAAACATTTGAAATTTGTAGCTACTTATTCACTGAGTGAATATAAAGTAAATATCTTGTTGGCAAAAATCGTTTTGTGAAAATTTTAAGAACGAATTAAGTTCAATTACAATAGTACAACTTACTACTATCACCATAAAATGTTGACAATTGACTAAACGCCGGTGTAACGCCCCATTTTTGTTGACAATAACTGGTTACTTGTTGTTTTGTTAAAGGTAAAGAGGTGAACATATCATTTGTAGTACTATCTGAGTCATCATGTAAATTCATTTCTGTACAACTCTAAAATGAAACAATTACAAAGAATAATGAATAAAATGCAACGATCACTATAAATAATTGAAAGTGCATGAAATAAAATTTAACAAATAGATTGCCTATACATTAAGACCATGTGTCTTAAGTGAATCAAACAGTCAGGAGCGACGTATAAATTAGAACATACACCTATCTACTCGAATGGTAAAACTTTCATTAGTACCAGGTGTAATTATCAAGATGAGTACTAGAGCAATAAGAATAGTAGTATAAACGGTAATAGGTACAGATATAGATGATTTAAGACCACTGAATTCGAAAAATGAGTGGTATAATATAATTGCGAAACTCAGTACCTAAGAAAAGACAGGATGACAGCATCTGTATCACAGTGACCGATTTTGAAGTAATATCACCCAGCGTCTCCAATCAATATGTACCACGTGAACTGGCCAATTCGACCCATCCCACTTACATGACTGTCAAACTCATTATTATTAGAAATGGTGACATGCAATACAGCAACCAAATGACAATGGCCCTCGGGAATGTTGCAAAACAACCACCAGTATCAATGAAATCGGTCACCCTGCTGACCAAATTTGTATATGGACTGTTAGCAATACTTGCCGATGCTATGCCAAGCCATCCACAATGTTCGCAGCGAACCTCTGGTCTCATAGAGAGCAGTACAACATGTGGTATACACATAGTATGGCATGGGATAGCAAGAGATGCAACACAGCTTGATGCGAATGGGCTCAAACACTCTCATTACCCTTTGTCTCATGTCAGATAATGATTTTTTCGCGATACCGAAATTTTCATTTTTCGACCGTATGAGACCTGAATTAGGGGTAGTATCCCTTAGAACAACTTGACAAATAGTTAATAATTGGATTTATTAACATAGGTTTAATTTCAGTCCTAATTAGGAATGTGATAAATTTCACATCACCTGGTCACTTCAAATGGTTTATAATATTCAAAAAGCTTCGCCCTACATCGAGATCAAGTTCTTTAGTTCACAAAAAGGTATGCACCACAGTAAATCACATCATAAAGCTTACTCACTTACTTACTTTCGCCTGTTACCCCCAATGGAGCATAGGCCGCCGACCAGTATACCATAGAACTAACACATGAATATTTCATAAATTAAATTTGATAAGAAGAAGGGAACGATTACTAACCTGGAAATCCCAAGCAAGTGAATCATTGCCTAAACCACACCCTGTTACGTCAGCACATTCAATAAACTGTGCTTTATAATCGAAACACGAGAGAGCTATAATTCAATTTTTTAAACAAAACATAGTTTTATATTGATTATTAGAGCAAATTAAGTTCTATGCCGATAACCAGAACTGAAAATAATGAAATAAATTACATTATCATTAATCCGTAGGAATACGAGTAGACACACTATAGAAATACTGTTTATCAAAAAACATGAAAGCTAGATAGACACTGGTATTTGATTCACTCCCGATATCCTGTCTGCGAATTATTGCAAACATACTAAGTTCAGTTTAGCAAGTATACACAAGTCTGAGATGTGCGTATTTCATTACATACACATGCTTTTATATCCTATTACGAAAGACATTGTGAAGCATGTGAATATAATCATAATAAGTGACTTCGTTAGATCCATATTTAGTTTGCACTTTTATCTCTACAATAATTCACTCATCTTTCCTAAAACTCTCGGTTCTGTTTACGACTGGTTGATCCCATTCGTGAAGACATTACAGTGGTGTACCCAGATATATCGCTCCTGACAATCTGAATGATTCCATAGCTGTCTTACTAAATTTATAGATTGTTTACGTTTCCATAAGGCCAAACAAAAAAGAAACTTTTCTGGAAATCGATATTTGCAGTGATTAGGTCGGTTACAAAAATCGCATTTCATTACTTTTTCCTCATACCATAGGCTTTCATCGTATTCTTAGATGTCACTGAATAATAATAGTCCCGAATTATTTAACATGAATTTCCCTTTCTCCAGTTTAAACCCTTTAACTTTAGCCAATGGTTTTCAATTATTGAAAACTACTACGAAAAAGTAGCATGATATATATGTGGTATCATTGTGAAACAAGACTTAGAAACACTTTATGATACTTTGGTGCAAGAATTGATCAAAGTCCTATCCATATCCGATTTAAAAAATCATTCAACCTTTAAATAACGTCCATCTTTTAAACAAAACGTCGTAGTTATAGAAGTCAATGAATGGTTTAATGAGCGAAATCTGAATAGTTGATATTTTTGTTCATTATAACCGCATAAGCAACCAAAGTTAAGTAACACGTATTGGTGTTTAGAGAGAATACGTTAATACTGATCAGTTAGCAAATATAACCAGATAAATATACTTAGAAAACCTGTGGATGTTGTGCTGAACGAGTAAGCCCTAATTATGAACGAGTAAAAACATATTCACGTGGAACATACCAAAAAGTATAATAAATAGCAATGCAATATGATAAACATACATTGTGAGCTGTTGTAGAAAACTCCAACGGCCTCACGAAGGGTCTGGATGAGATCATTTGCTGCTAATGCATTCTTGCACGAGACATTAACAGGATTAGCAGGCAAACTTGCCATAAATGATGCGTTGTAAGGGTAATCTAACATAGCCATCATAACAAATGCATTCCGAGCCCACTTCAGCACCCAGTGAAATTCGAAATCATTTCCGATAGGTTTACATAATCGTAGGCCATCAGAGAGTTGTTTGTAACCTGTGAAATGAGATTTCTGCGAGTACTTTAAACAAGAATTAAGTATATATATATATATATATATATATATATATATATATATATATATCGAAAACCCTTAAACTATTACTGTATCTGGTCAAAAAAGATTCTTGCAAATGACAAACGATCTGAAAATGAAATCGGATGTCGAAAATCGAGTAGAGTGGCGCAGTAACGCCAAACCTCGAAAATCAGTAAAAAATCTGGTAGGAAATGTACGAATGAATGTTGCTAATAGGTTTCAGTATCAGCAAAAGAGCATATGGTACATACAAATGTACTGTAGCTGAACTAAAAGTGATTAATCAAAACGAAGTTCAAACGTTTATCAGAATGAGAAAAATAATTAGAACCAGTATCACCAGTGAGTAGCTGTAGACAACTGTAACGAATAGCGAAAACCAACAATTGCTAGCTAAACACTTTTTTAAGTTACTTACAGCTTCATGTATATTGAAATCGGTAGACATTTTTGAAAGGATGAAATTAGCATACTTAATAGATTCACTTGACATTAACTTTTTGTGACAATCACGAACTTTTAAACGACTTTTCGTTTCAGTCAACTTAGTCTTAAATAAACCTTCTTTATTGCTGCACCAAGCACAAAAAGTCACTCTAAAGCTTAAACGGAAGTCGAAATTAGTGGATGGACTTAAAACTGCGTTTACTTATTTTGAGATAACAACTGAAAACTGAAACTTGGTAGTCAATGTCCTTAAATTGTTCTTGCCACTCCTTAACCATTAACTTTGGTGCATCAATAAGTAACAACAGTATAATTTTATTACATCACCATGTGTTATAACTGTGATAAAATGAATATGGACCAGAGGGAACCAGGATTTGCAGGAAGTAAGGTATGATTAGTCAGTCAGGGAGCGACAATGTAGAACGTGGTGCATACTTACGTCAATTCAAGTTGCCATACCACATTAGCATAGAGATGGAATTAATAAGGCAAATCCCATAGTGGTAGATGTGTAGTGAAAGAGAACACAGGTGGGGCAACCGAATTGTATTTAACGAAAATTACAGGGTTACTCAGTAAAACTGCAAAACCATATCGTAAATCGTTCATTTGCAAAATAACAGTTCATCATATCGAACTGGACTGTTCCTGTTGCAAAACATCAATCCATTGTCACTATTCATACGTTTCATACAAATTCCAAAATTTTCTAACTCTTCCTTTCTTGATCTTCCCCCATCCTCTGCTGCCAGACATTACGTTGACGCTCACGTCATATACTACTTACAAGTAGCTGGCAACACAGCACCACACTCGTCCCCCCTTTTAATAAGCTGTCGTCGTAGTCTTTCTGATCGTCGTACCGCTGTCTGTGGAAACGACCCCATTATATCCACCGACCATAGATCACCGACTGCGGTTACTGGGATCGACTGTAATGGCGGTTGTGTGTATCTATCGCTTTTCATTAGTTGACACTGCTGGCAAGTTAACACGTATTGAGCCACATCGTCTCTCATGCCCGGCCAGTATGCACTTTGCCGTAATAAATCCGTCGTTCTTGCGATGCCTGTATGTGCTATCTGGTGATACTCGTGTATCATCTTACGCCGCCAGTCTTTCGGGATTAGAGCCACCCAATTCTCGTCATCGTCCTGCCAGGTCAGGACTCCATATGCGTTCATTTTCAGTCGTTCCTTTTGCCTAAGTAACATTATTACCTCCTTGTCCGTCGTTCGTTTGTCTACGTCTTCTCCTTCTTTTATCACTCTGATTACCTCTCGAAGGTTCGGGTCAGCTTTCTGTTGCCGGATGAGTTCTAATGGGTCTCCATCTAAACTATTCACCGCGTATGCTGTCGCTGGAAGGTCATCTTCCATGTCTTACATTGCTCTTTGCTTATTAACGATATAGCTGCCCCTGTATCGATCAAACACACTAACTCCTGTTCATTTATGTACACTCTGGCATAAATTGCCCCTCTATCTACTAGTGCAAGAACCTCCCGATTCCTAGGGTGGAAAGAAAACACGTTATAATGTTTAAAATATCTTCGTCGTCGTCTTCTTGGACAGTTTATCTTCCAATGTCCTGCCTCTCCACAAGCGTAACATTTATCGTTCCTTTTATGATTTACTCGTAATGCTGCTATCTCACGCTCTAACTCCTCAATCTTCTTCTCGAAAGTATTTATCTCCTGCTTTTCGCACCCGACCGGAGCTACTGTTCGTGTCATCAGCTGACGAGTCACCTTCGCCAGTTCACCGATGTCCATAGGTTGTGTTGCATTTACTAATCTCAGCTGCCGGGACACGGCGGCAGGCACACTCTCAATAAATTGCGACGCCAACAATTGTGCCTCCGACTCCTCATCGATATTCGGGAACGCACGGCGCAGCAACCCTGTGAGCTCCACAGCAAGCACCAGCGGGTCACCATCAGCCGACAGCCTCGCCAACCGGAACTTCTGCAACGCCTCCTCCCTGTCCACCGGGCTGTCGAACTCGACCATCAGCCGCTCAATGACCGTCTCCCATGGCGTCTTCCCGCCAGCACCGTCCAAGCTGTCATATACGGCCTTCGCCCTTCCTCTCAGCAGCGTCCCCAGCACCACCAACTTCGCCTTCGGTTCCTTCACCCCCACCAGCTCCGCCACGGCCTCAAACTCCTTCAGGATGCTCCGCACATCTCCATCCTCAAACTCCTTCGGCAATGGAATATTCATAATTTGCGTAGGCAGCGACACCAAATGTAGTGAAAGAGAACACAGGTGGGGCAACCGAATTGTATTTAACGAAAATTACAGAGTTACTCAGTAAAATTGCAAAACCATATCGTAAATCGTTCATTTGCAAAATAACAGTTCACCATATCGAACTGGACTGTTCCTGTTGCAAAACATCAGTCCATTGTGACTATTACGTTGACGCTCACGTCATATACTACTTATAAGTAGCTCGCACCACAGCACCACAGTTGTAGCAATATTAGCGTTAGTAGAAAAGACTACGAATCGGAGTTGCGATTTGACAAGTGAAATAAATTTAAAAAGTAAAAAACGGTAATAGAGATGTCAAAAGATTAGAATTTGAAAGAAGCTAAAAAATGGATGCATCTGAGCAAGTGGAAACGATTTTGAACCATATCATTTAAAGTCTCTTGCAGTTCAGACGAGGTGAAAGATGAGTGTTATAGAAAGCTTTCGAAACTCCTGCAAAAGCTAGGCACTCTGATACAGTAATAATCGCTGGTGACTTTAATGCTCAAGTAGGTAGACTGAGTGTAAAGGAAAGACACCTGATGGGATCTTATGGTGTCGCGGCTCAGAGAACAGATATTGGCGACCATCTGCTGCAGCTATGATCAGACAACCGCCTATCCCTCTAGCAAACACTAAATTTAAGCATAAGGAAAAGCATCTATTGAGCTGGCTACCTGCAAAGCCGACCCAACGATGGACCAAACTAGATCAACTTGCCATCAGCCACCGACAGAGAGGTCCGACAGAGGACCGTCGATCGTTCTGGAGCACTTGTTTAGACTCAGACGATGCTTTAGCGCGAGCGCGTATTTGTTTGATGCTTACTGGACGTAGGAAAAACACCGTAAGGAAGCCTCTTAGGGTTTTACTTAATTATAATAAAGCTAAGAATATATTTCAGGAGCAACTAGAAAGTGAGTTAGGCAACCATGTAAGCGATTCCAATCCGGAAGCAGGTTGGAATGATATCAAAAATGCTGTGGAAACAGCAGTGATATCTTCTAGTAAGGTAAACCATAAGGCTGGAAGAAGCCGTGAATCTCAGTAGCATCCACCGAACTGACAGACGCTCGTAAACTCATCCCATCTAGCTCCAAACAATACGAAGAGCGAAGTTAACTTAAGCGCAGGCTGATAAAAAGCCCACGCAATGATCGCAAACAGTGGCGGGTAGTGAAATTGAGAGAGATGGAAAAGGCAGCAGCGATAGGCAACAGTAGGCAACTATTCAGACTCATCAAGGAAACCGGTATCAGGAACCCGAAGGTCAGTAAGACTATTTCGGAAAAAGATGGTCTTATTATTTATTCTCAATCCAGGAGATTGGATTGATGGGCAGAACACTTTATGAATCAGTTCAACTGGCCTCGAGCCACTCTTCGGTTACCCACGATCTCCAGTCATCCTGAATGGCAAAGCGATGTAAGTTGTCCGACTCCTTATAAAGTTGAGAAAGCGATAGGAAATCTGAAGTGAGTGAGAACAGTTGGTCCCGATAGACTTACACCTGAGATATTTAAGGATGGTGGTCCAGTTTTAGCAGCCAGATTGACTAAGATCTTATGTAGAATCTGGGAACTGGACGTAATCCCATCCAAATGGTCTCAATCACTGATTGTCCCAATTCATAAGAAAGGACAAAAGTCTTCTTGTGAAAATCACAGGGGAATAAGTTTAACTAATTTGGTGTCTAAATTGTAAGCCTCGATAATTCTTAGACGCCTAACTAGAGCTCGTGAAGAGCAGACTAGAGAAAAACCCAGGCGGGTTTACGACATGGACGTGGCTGTATAGACCACATTTTTACACTACGACAGGTCCTGGAACACAGACACACATATAAGCGTCCAACAACAGTTGTCTTCTTGGACTTAAGGCGGCATTTGACTCTGTGGATCGTGAGGTTCTGTGGCAGTGTTTGTCATTAAAAAGTGTACCAATGAAATACATTAACTTTATAAAAGCTCTCTACACGAACACCACTGGTCGAGTGAAAGCTTATGGCAAACTGTCAGCGGAATTCTTTACTTCAAGTGGTGTCCGTCAGGGATGTCCACTCTCTCCATTCTTGTTTAATTTTATCATAGACATGCTCCTAGATATAACCTTATCCTCATCTGAATTGTTAGGAGTGGACCTTCTACCAGGAAAATCGCTTGCTGACTTAGAATATGCAGATGACATAGTTCTATTTGGTGAAGACGCTGACAAGATGCAGTCTTCTGGTTACCCTAAGCAAGCATTTTCGGGATGCGGTTTTCCCCCTCAAAATGAAAAATGTTGCTTCAAGATGGGGTGAAGTAGTTAGGCGTGTTGACCGCTTCACTTATCTGGGGAGTCTCGTCAATACAGATGGCCTAGTGACTGACGAAATCTCAGCTCGGATTCAGAAGGCTCGATTGGCTTTTGCCAACCCACGTCACTTATGGCGTAGGCGAGATATCCGGTTGCTGACTAAAGGACGGGTGTACTGAGCAGTAGTTCACTCCGTCCTACTTTACGGCTGTGAAACATGGCCAGTGAGAGTAGGAGATATTCGTAGGTCACTTGTTTTCGATCATAAGTGTCTTCGAAGCATTGCTCGTATATCCTGGGACAACACAGTGAGCAATACTGTTATTAGGAAACGGGTACTAGGTAAGGATGGTAGATCAATAGATGAAGTTGTGAATGTTCATCAGTTGAAGTGCATGCGACATGTGTTACGAACGCCCAACCACCGACTGCTTCGTCGAGTTATGTTTTGCGGTGTTGGAATAGGTTGGTAGAAAGCTAGGGGTGGCCGAACCAAAACATGGCAGAAATCCATGAAGTCACAGACAAGTGGACTGAGTCATGTCGGCAGGTGTCGACTACCTCGTTGAGGTCCGCGAGATGATAGTAATCGATGGTTAGAGACCTTGAATGACATGGCTCAGAATCGTTTTCGATGGCGCAGGTGCATTCATTCATTGTATTCTCTCAAATCCTAACCTTCTGTATTCCTCATCACTTTATCTTTCTCTTTTTGAGTTTATTTCGCTAGATTCTACTTCTTGAATTATATCTTCAAACCCTAATCTTTCTGATGAGACTTCATACTTCTACTACTCCTACTACTAAGGCATTTGAATTGACAATTACACCTCTGTGCTAATGTGATAGGGCAACATAAACTGATGTACGTACCTACGTACGAAGTTCTACGTTGCTATTAATTGATTAGATTGATTTAAAATCTCTAACCACAGGTTACGATTGTCTCGTCGACCGCAACCAGAAAGTTTACAGAGTCAGTCAATTACAACGTAGAAATTCGTACCTACGTACATCAGTTAAGGTTGCCGTACCGCATTAGTACAGAGACGCAACTGTCAGTTCAAATCACAGAGTGGTAGCAATAGTAGAATTATTAGCAGTAATGGAGAAGATTAGGGTTCGAAGATATGATTTGAGAAGTATAATTCAGTGAGATAAATTTAGAAAGCGAAGGATAGAGGTGATGAAGAATCCAGATGATTATAATTTGAGAGAACACAAAGAGTGGATGCACCTGCGCCACTGCAAACGATCTTGAGCCATGTCATTCAAGGTCGTTAACCATCGGTTACCATTGTCTACACCTACCGACATAGATCAGTTCGCCTGTCAGTGACTACATGGATCTGTGTCATGTTCTGGATTGGCCCCCTCTAACTTTTTTCAGCCAACAAAACATAGTTCGTGTAGGCAGTCGGTGCTCACGAACACGTTCCAACCACCTGAACTAAAGAACATTCACCACTTCTTCAAACGATCTGCCATCCTTATCTGGTAGCCGTTTTCAAACACCAGCATTGTTCACTCAAAGGTTTAAAGACATACGAGCAGTGCTTTGAAGACAACTATGATCGAATACCGGTAACCTACGAATGTAATCGATTCTTAGTGGCCATGTTTCACAGCTATAAAGTAGGACGGAGCGAACTACTGCGCAGTACACTCCTCCTTTGGTTAGCGAACGGATACGTGGCCCACAGATTAAGTGACACAGGTTGGCGAAAGCCAATCGAGCCTTCAGTATCTGCGCTGAGATTTTGTCACACACCAGGTCATTAGAACTGATCAGACTACCAAGATAAGTAAGGCGGTCGACAAGCGTGTCTCCTGGTGGAAGATCCACCTCTGAAAAGTGGGAGGAAGATAATGTTATCTCTAAAAGCATGTCCATGACCTGAACAGAGAAAACAACAGGGATTATCACCTTACTTATTTTAATCCATACTTATGCACTATGACTTAAGTAGAGATGTTCACAATCCAACACTAAATGTAATGTCAGCATTGTTACAAATCAAATATAAATCAAAGCAAATTACTGTAACAACAAGTGAATTAAGAAATCAAAAACAGTTGTAGATTAGATCCCTTGAATGACATGGCTCAAAATCGTTCGCAATGGCGCCGGTGCATTTATTCTCTGTGTTCTCTCAAATCCTAATCTTCTGGATTCTTCAACACCTCTAGTTTCGACTCTCTAAACTTTTCTCACTGAATCATACTTCTTGAATAGTATCTTCTAATCCTAACCTCTCCGATTACTTCTAATTCCCTTACTACCTCTTCTACTATTGGATTTGAATTGACGATTACTGCTCTGTGCTGATGTGGTATGGCAACATGAACTGATGTACTTATGTACAAAGTTCTACGTTGCATCTGACTGACTGTAGATTAGAACTTCACACTGATATTTTACTTGCTAAACACTATAACGTCAAGTAAATGATCATTATCGGTGGTGTTACGAGGAAGAATAACTCAACTTGAACACATTTAGTTGACCATTATTTGTGTAAACTAATGATGATAAACTGGTAATTATTAAACCTTATACCACTTACCGATATCAGGTTTCTGAGACAACTGAACAGCTAAATCAAAGGCATTTTTAATCTTCTCTGAACATTGTGGATTTGCATCATGATAGTCCTAATTATTAAAAAAAATTATCGACAAGAATACTCACCTTCGTGACACTTTCAAAAAAATCATGAAAATTTCCTTCACCTGCGACCCATCTTACTGGTGCGCTCGAAGCTAAAGCACCTTTAACTATGTGGGGATATTTGGCCCTCATATATGCTGCAAGCATACCTCCATAGCTGTCTTAAATTAAACAGGAAATACCAAGTTTACCTTCCACCGAATGCAACAACGAGGGATCTGGTCATATTGAATTTTCTTTTGACACCTTCGATTAAATAGGCATAATCTGCTAACGCTTGGTCAATAGAAAGGTACTGGATATATGGCTGCTGGAAGCTTCTATCAAATGGAAGACTTTGACCATAGTAGCGCTTATAAAAATACTTAGTTCGTGAATGTATTTAGTACGTACATGTTCAGCAAACAGTATGAAAGCATTAAAACTAGGTGCTAACTCGAATATTAATCCTGTATTGTTCCAGAACCCTTCGATTCCTCCTTCATTTCCACAATAAAAGAAGATGGGTCCATTCGGTTTGAACCATTTATCTTTTGTTAGGAAGAATCAACCAAAATATATGAATAGTGTACCTTCATAAAGATAACGTTGTTTGAAAGTCAGATTTCTTGCTTGAAAATTAAAGTGGTCCAAAGTCTGATCAAAATAGTTTTCTTTCGGTGGCCATGGTATGGATGATGATGGTGATGCGACAAATAAGGTGCAGACAAACAGGAAGAGTTGGAAAACAGGGTTTGGATTCGTCATAAACACAAGAGCTGTAAATGATGAATGGATAGTAAAATGAATTTTCGGTAATTAAAACGTCACAATTAATTTTATAGATTTGCGAGTTATTTCAGTGACTGCTATACTAACGAAACGAAAATCCAAGTAAGTATTTGATATTACTATATACCTTGAATACAATATAAATAGTTTTTAAATGCATGAGAGAACCTTGAGTAAAAACTTGAAGATGGTTGACAAGTTCCGAACCGATTAACAACACGGATTAGTTTACTACGAAGAAACTTAGCTATTTAGATAGACATCAGCCACAGCTCTATCATCATTGAAAGATTTGTAAGTGATAAAAAGTTAACTATATATGCAGAAAACAACAGGGATCTAAAAACTTATTCCACTAGCCATTTGAATATCAGAGAACACCAATACTGACACATCGTTTTATGCCTATAACTCATGAAAAGACTTTTAGTGAACGCTGGTGAGTTGCTTCTCACAGTTTTGACCATCTTGGTAAAGTTCATTAACATAGTACGGGCTGCAATAAATAGAGACCTAAAACAGATTATGATCTGTACCCCCAGGTTTTCATACGCTTCTAGCCTATTTAATCATACAATACACAAGGGATGAGTGGTTATAATTCTTTTCTTAAGTGCTTTCAAGATAAGTCAGTAGGCTCGACATACACATCGCGTAACCTAGATAACAGTTGGTTTGGTAATCTCACAAAGCAAGCATTGATTCTCAGATAACCTACAATTATATGCTATGAAGTGTTAGCCAAAGGTGTTTACAACGCACAAATATTAGCAAAATAGCAAGAACTTAGTCGAAAACTGAGATACGTCGACTTCAAGATACACGACAACACTTAACAGTGCGCGGGCACCCCTAAAATTACTTTTCTACCATGCCGTTATTTTACGATATTGTAAATTCCGCATTTGGCACGTTTGCATTTTGCTCGGAGGTAAAATGTATGTTGGTGGAGTGAGAAGCAGTAGTTGAGATTATCTAGTAGAGAAAAGAACAAAGGTGGGCTGACGATTCGGTAAGCACATAGAATGCCCTTAATTTTAATTGAGAAAACAATAGAAAAAAATCATAAATAATACAAACATGAGGCTAAGACAAAGTGATGGTCAAAACTAGGAGTCGGCAGCGTAATGGTTATGAACGCATTAAAATCAGATTGTTAGACTTCGCGCCAAAACCTAAGACCTGCTAACTCAAATGTGATTGGCTCGTCCGTAAATGACTGTTCCGCAGCCGACATCTGTTTAAACTCGCTTCTTAAGGTTAAAGTACAATTTTACTCCTGTAATACCACACAATTTGAGTGGCATTGAATACAGTATTAACTTAATGAACCTGCCTGTTATTTGAAGTAGGAAATATAGAGAATTAGAGTGAATACATTTGTTCCAGCTGTTATCATGCCACAGGCCAGTTGATTGTATGGTTTCACTTTGGAATATTTCAGAATTAGGACAGAAATGAACATGGACACTAATGCGAATCGTTTCATGACATATCAGACGTTTTAACAAGAAAGTCAACAGAGAGCCAAATAAAAGGACATGTAGCGGTAAACAAACGCCTGAAATAAATAATTCTGTTAGTCCTCAATACTGACACTGACTTCTTTGATATTAGTGGACACAATCCAGTAAAAGGAGCTCAGCCACGCCCACGCACCACATTACCACTGTGTTGTGCTACTCACCTCAGACAAATGGTGGTAAAAGATTATGATAGTATCACTAATAACTAATGGAAGTGGTGGATAGAGCAAGACATTGTGAAAAAATTGAAAAGTAACTGACTATATATCCTCGGAAATGATTAAAAGACTTCAGGATATGCGAAGTACCATTGTGTATAACATACCTAACTGTGCAAACCGAACTCTACAGTTCCGTTTCTTACCCCTTCTAAAATATAAAGCAGAACGAATTAGAATATTATCTCAAAGATCGGGAATGTAAACAAAAAGGGTTGCAAACATTCGTCCTGAGCCGAAACGCCCAACTACTCCCAACTTTCAAATCAGTTACACTTCAGTAATACCCCAACATTTCCCTAGCGGTGCCGATAAAACCTGGCATTTCAGCTCAATAGAAATTCTACTAAAATTTCTGCTACGCCCGATGGCTATTCACTCGCTGAATCCCCCGAAATAAGCTACAAACATCTCAGCACATTAAACCCACAACCTGCATCCACTCACAACAATAGTCGATCCCACAGCACAGAGCAGACTGTTCGTTTCAACTTGACTAGTGTAAAGAAACGCCTAGCCACCACAACTACTTCTGCTGCTACCTAACACGTTAGTAAGTTCTTCATAGTAAACCCCAGAAATCTAAAACTCAGAAAAAAATACACAAATACCTCCCCTAACAATGACCACAAACATTTCTCCATCTCCAACCTCTTACTTGCCACAATAAGGTTAAGATGCATAATAATGCACAAAAAATCCAAAACACCGGCCTACTTCGGAAACCACCTAATCTTTCTATACATCATCTTTGTCAAAATATCTTCCATAACTCTCGGCTCCCTCCCTGGAAACAAATACTTTGTTGTTGTTTAATTGTCACTTTATCAATAACGATATGTTGTTGTCCTCCAATGCTCAGAGCGAGACTTCCGCCTAGTTAAATTGTATTTTATATACTGTGTGGTGATGTCCCAAAACCAAGCTTCGCAACTAACAATCCCATTTACTCGTAAAAGCTTCATGAATGGTCCCTCTGACCGGCCTTTAGATATGTAGTTCATCGACATGACCCGTACCAACTCACCTATTCTTGTGGTTTTGCTAAATGAATTATCGTTATTCTAACGTCTACAGCATCTCTTCGTTGAATATCACTGACCAGTTATGATAAACGAAATACAAACCTTAATTCCCGTAACTCTAAACGAAATAACTCTGCAATAATTAAATTAGCTGGTATCTTTTGCAGTTTAATTATCAGTTCACAGCTCCCTGTTATTTTTTTAATTCCGGCATTGTCTGCAAAAGATGAGCTATCCTAGGTCTCTGGCTAACTTGGTGAGTCCATGATTTATTTTTATTACTGAAACCTGGTGCACACCTGATATTTCTGATTCAAAAATTTGTGTGTCATAAAAGTAGAAATTCAGGTCAAGGTAGTGGTTTAGCACTATATGTGCGATCTGACATACTGTCAACCATCATCTTCCCAGATAGTTGTGAACTGTTAAGTGATGATTTATTCATCACTATAAATAACTGAGACAATCACGATCTCATAACCCGTTGCATCTATAGACCACTTAGTGCTGCTCATGCAGTAGATAAGCAGTTAACTAAAATATACGCATCCCTATCATTATTACCTATCGACAAGTTAATAAGAGACGATTTCAACATGCCTTATGTCAAGTGAAACACAATAATAGGTCCTTTCCATTTGAAAACATTCTTTAAAATACTAGAAACAAACTGATAGACCCATATATTCAAAACCTCCACTAGAAAAACTAGCCTTTTAGACTTAAACTTCTTACTCGATGCCCCTACAAACGACGAATTCGTTATTCCTGAATATCCAGGCTGTAATTGCAAAGACTCAGTCCGTCAAATTTTTGCGCCTAAATGCACGTGAGCTTCTACTGGAACAAAAGTTCTTATAGACTCTATCAGAAACTTTTTATGGCTGCGTTGAACTCGAATTAGGGCTCACCCCTTAAGTGGCTCGTGATGTGACTTCAATATTTTTGAGCATTTAAATATGATATGAAACAAATCTCCCGTTGAATTTTCGTATATCATACTAAAGGGAGCCCCGTTTAGGTGACGGCGTAAATGAGGAGCCAAATACAGATTCAACTGGGTAAGTTTATTTCAGGCACTCGTTGGCCGGCAGATATGAGAACGATAGGTGGACAAGCAATGCGAAGGGAAATGGAATAGGCTAGCGACTCAACGATATGCGATGAAGCATGACTAAGTACTTGCAGTCAGATAAAATAAGCCAGAGATGTGATCAGCGTACTATGCACAGACCCGCAGTCAAACGAAAACAATCGAGATTGTTATCAAACAGTAACGGTTATTTAGTTCGCCAGATAGCTATGAAAAATCATGTGGGCTCGAAAAAATGTACACACTATGAAATTAACAAACACTGACTATCCTGACTCTTAATTTCTGCTTCGATACCTCTGTTGGTAGAAGCTTTTTTGACTGATACTTTCCCGAATTTTCTTCGTTGTAATCTAAAAACTTTCTTGAGGACGATCGTCCCAATCGTATTAAATAACCATAGAGCCATTATTGTGCATACATTCCTGCCAAATTTAAATCTAAATTGAAGTTGCGACCAAGATTTTTTCTCATTGCGCATTTCTGTTATTCTCAGCGACCAGTCTCCCATTATCGAAATGGTAGCTGTTAGTGAACAAAGGGATAAGAAGTTGAACTAGGGTTTACCAATTCACATAGGATTCACACCGAGCATCGTGAGAGATGCAACTTAATCATGTGAACCTATTAGAAGTCAGTAAGATGAAATACTGACTAATTCAGTCAAACACTGTGGTTTAGAGATCCAAGGTCTACTTACTTAAATAATTAATTTGTCGTTTGAGTCAGGTGTTTTACCCTGGCACTGAAAAACAAGCATGGGGTTCGCATCTAGAACGTGGGTAACCAGTAATCTAGAATACTTCGATTATATAATAAACCATAGGGATGAAGGAAAATTGGTTGCTATTTTATACTTTGACTTCATTGAAGTGTTTAGTAAATCAAGTGACATAAAGACACCTGGGATTACTCGCAAGTCGCGCAATCGAATTTCGTCCTTCTGAAAACACAGTATGTGTCTGACCATTACCGGAACACTGCTTAGTAATATTCATTTACATGAACTCCTAAGATATACAGAAAATCGAGTATGTGCGATGTTTCTTTAAGAGATTAATTATTCCCAACTCTATCCGCCTGCGTACTCGTCAAGTGTATGATCAGCTACACTTTCTAGCAGGTGCTTGCAGGTATTTGTTCGGGATGGGATCCAGGAAGTAATGGATATTGTCAAATAACTCTGAGGTTAATCGTATTTATATCTAAGAGAGGAATACATGGTAGAGGAAGATCGTGTCCAAGTTCACAGTAGAGTTCTAGGTAGCCAATAGGAAGATCAAATTGCGATACAGATTGATCACTGTTTTTAACAAGTTCATGTTTTTCCACTTTGATAGCTCATTTGGTTCTTTTATAGGTTTAGTATGCGACAGGCGAATTTAAGTGTTTTTTAGATAAACGTGACATGTTTGTAGAGTTATTTGTGAGTAGAATATTTACTAAATGGACGGCGTCTGTTCGATCTGATGAAGCCAAAAACTGCAGTAAAAAGCTAAAATAACATTAACTGATGAGTGTGTACAAACTGTTAATTTATACATACCGCTTACCACGATTAAAACGTTCCGAAAAAGAGAACGATAAATCATGTGAAAAGTTAAAACCTTCAGAGTACGCGCCTCTTCAATTTGTTGACATATTTAATCTATTTAACTGGAAAAAACTAGGTTCTACAAACCACTCCTCAATGTCACAACTGGCAATTAGTGCCATTTTTCAATGAGTTCATGGAGAGATAACGAAACAAAAACCCATTTAAAAAAAACTTGTCGGCATGTCCGCATGAATTTTCTATCATATATTTTCGCTGACTTTATTCTGTTCATAGTCCTGCTTCTGTAGTATCTCACGTGAATACCTTTTTTGTAAACTAATAATAATGATAATAATTTATTCTCAAATAACAAACATGTTACAAGAGACATGCCAATTTACAGGCAAGATCAAAATGTTAAGATTAGCAACATATTTTTTTCTGAAACGTTATACAGTTACTGAAACATTTCACGAGATTCATTGTTTTCTTAAAGATGGAATGTACAAAGCGAGTAATTGGCGCAAGTTACGAAGGTTGCGTTACGACAATCATCTTATGGGCTGAGAAACGATTCATGGTACAGATAGGTTTTCATATAACAAGAATTGATGCGGTAAATGTACAAAGGTCTGGTTGATATTCATCAGCTAATGATTTCACATGTTCTTGGGTAGGGTAACCAAGTCTACTGCAGATATCCAGACAAATACATGTGGATTGGAATAAGGTTCTGAAGAAAGAGGAATAAAGAAAACGGGACGAGGAGCAGAACAGAAAATATTCATGTTCAAAGCCGAACAATGGCTTTGCACATACGTTT